TTTCTCTCACATAATTTTTTTTTTTTTTTTTTTTGATGGAGTCTTGCTCCGTCACCCAGGCCAGAGTGCAGTGGTGGAACTTGGCCCACTGCAACCTCTGCCTTCCAGGTTCAAGCGATTCTCCTGCTTCAGCCTCCCAAATAGTGGGGATTACAGGCACCCGCCACCATGCCCGGCTAATTTTTGCATTTTTAGTAGAGACAGGGTTTCACAGTCTTGGCCAGGCTGGTCTTGAACTCCTGACCTGGTGATCCGCCCGCCTCAGCCTCCCAAAGTGCTGAGATTACAGGCTTGAGCCAGTGTGCCTGGCCTCATACTGTTTTCTTTAGCATTATTTCAGGCTATGTCATACAATAGTAAACCTGACAGACAAGCCCCTCCCCCCCCAACCAATTGATTTAAACAAGATAATTTCAGATTGTGAAAATGCTGTGAAAGAATTAAGTTAGGTTAGAGAAAGCAGTATGGGCAATACATTGTACTCATCCTGGGGAACATTATGGGTGGAACTGATCAGGAGGGAAGATTAATGAATTAAAATGGGAAGCTATAATTAATCATACGTGTAGGAAGTGTATCTTGTAAGAAGTCATATATGTTGTTGTTCTTTTTTTTTTTTTTTTTGAGATGGAGTCTTGCTCTATTGCCCAGGCTGGAGTGCAATGACACAATCTCGACTCACTGCAACCTCCGCCTGCCGGATTCAAGCAATTCTCCTGCCTCAGCCTCCCAAGTAGCTGGGGCTACAGGCACGTGCCACCATGCCTGGCTAACTTTTTGTATTTTTAGTAGAGATGGGGTTTCACCTTGCTGGCCAGGCTGGTCTCGAACTCCTGACCTCGTGATCTGCCTGCCTCGGCCTCCTAACATTTTGGGATTACAGGCGTGAGCCACTGTGCCGAGCCTGTTGTCATTCTTATTTAAGAATATTTTACATTTTGTTTATTAAAAAATGTTTGGCTTAGGCTGGGCGCGGTGGCTAATGCCTGTAATCCTAGCACTTTGGGAGGCCGAGGCGGGCGGATTGCCTGAGCTCAGCAGTTTGAGACCAGCCCGGGCAACATGATGAAACCCCGTCTCTACTAAAATACGAAAAAGTAGCCAGCGCGTGCCTGTAGTCCCAGCTACTTGGGAGGCTGAGGCAGGAAAATTGCTTCAACCTGGAGGCAGAGATTGCAGTGAGCTGAGATCGCACCACTGCACTCCAGCCTGGCGACAGAGCGAGACTCTTATCTCCCAAAAAAAAAAAAAAAAAAAGTTTGGCTTAGATTAGATAAAACATGTTTTAGACTCAAAAAAATAGGCAGGAATTCTTTCCTTTTTTTTTTTTGAGATAGAGTTTTGCTCTTGTTGCCCAGGCTGGAGTGCAATGGCACAAGCCTGGCTCACTGCAACCTCTGCCTCCCAGGTTCAAGCAATTCTCCTGCTTCAGACTCCTGAGTAGCTGCGATTATAGGCATGCACCACCACGCCCAGCTAATTTTGTATTTTTAATAGAGATGAGGTTTCTTTATGTTGGTTAGGCTGGTCTCGAACTCTCGACCTCAGGTGATCCGCCTGCCTTGGCCTCCCAAAGTGCTGGGATTACAGATGTGAGCCACCGTGTCCGGCCGCAGGAATTCTTTTTTAAAATAAGAGTTTGCTTTGAATTTTCTGTTAATAATATAAGAGAGAAGAACTGGGGTCAATTTGGGGAGACAGGTACGTAGAGGACAATGACTGATGATATGGGCAGGACTATTAGTTGTGGATAAAAAATACTGCATTTGGCCAGCAAGCTTGAGAGCATCTTGGGCATGGTACCTGCCTATCACGTCTTCCCTTAGCATGGTCCAAACTAGCATCAACAAACCAAAATGTTCATGGATCTGTTAGCTCATTTATTCTTCTAACACAATTGTTGTAATGGAAAGAAACATCAAAGGGCAAAGAGGAGGAATCAGCAAAAATCCTGACTAGGGCACCTTTTTGTACTCAAGGAGTTAACAGTCCAGAGCGGATGCCTCATATGTAAAATAAGTAGTTAGAATGCAGGGTGATACATGCTGTAATAATGGATATGAGATAAGATTTGTTAGAGCTTAGAAGGCAGAGGCTCATTGTCTAGGCATGATGGCTCACTCCTGTAATCCCAGCATTTTGGGAGGCCAAGGCAGGAGGATCGCTTGAGCCCAGGGGTTCGAGGCCAGGCTGGCAGAAGGAGGGGCATATACAAAGGAATAAAGGGAACTGTAGAATGTTTCATAAGGATGAAGATAGTGTAGGTATGATGGGGAATGGTCAGAGATACAGGGCCCAGAACAAGAAGGGTTTTACCTGTCATACCTAGAGATTTGAAGTTGATCCTTAGGGGATGAGAAGCTACTGAAAGCTTTGTTACACTTATTATTATTATTATTATTTTGTCTTTTTTTACCCCCGCTTTTTGTGGAGAACGGGATCTCACTATATTGCCCAGGCAGGTCTCAAACTCCTGGGCTCAAGCTATCCTCCCGCCTCTGCCTCCCTGAGAGCTGGGATTACAAACATGAGCCACCGTGCCTGGCGCTACTGAAAGATTTATAACAAGGAATTATATTTCAGGCAAGACTCTCTAGCAACTTTTTCAACATCAACAGTGACTAATAGGCATTGCAAATTTAATATGCCCCAAAACCTAACTCCTGACTTCTCCCCTCAACACCTGCTTTTCCTGCTTTTCCCCTATCTCGGTGAATTGCAGCTTGCTTCTTTGGGTTGCCTAGTGCAGTCATTTTTGACTCTTCTTTCTCTTACACCTCACCACAGTATATCAGCAAATCTTCTTGTTTCTCACTTTAAAATATACCCAGAATTCATCCACTAATTACTACCTGCACTGCTACCGCCCCAAACTGAGCCACCAATCATCTCTAGGCTGGGTTATTGCAATAGCCTCCTAACTGGTCTCCTTGCTTCCTCCCTTGCTCCCCTACAGTATATCGTCCACATAACCTCAGATCCTTCCAAAAGGTGAGATCATGTTACCTCTGCTCTCAAGTTTCTAATGGCTTCTTAAAGTCCTATGGTAGCCACAAAGCCCTATGTGCCTGGCACTCTGCCCTCTCTCGCCTACTGCTGTCCTTATTTCACTGCAGCACACTGGCCTCCTTTCTTTTCCTTGGATCTTGCTGACCATCCTGCGTCAGAACCTTGGCATTTGTTGGACTGTCTGCCTAGAACATTGTTTCCCAAGATATCCACCTTGCTGGCTCCCTCCCTCTGTGCAGGGCTCTGCTAATGAAGCCTTCCCTAATCACCTTATATAAAATAGCAAAACTTCTCAGGCACCCTCTGTCCTCCTTACCTTACTTAATTTTGTTTCCATAAACTTACTGTCATCTGAGATTATATATATTTATTGTGTGTCTCATTTCTAGAATGTAAGCTCTAAGAGCAGACTTGCTTTATTCACTATTCTGTCACTAAGGCATAGAACATAAAGTAATCACTCAGTAAAGTTTTGTTGACTGAATGACTTGATTTGCATTTTTTAAACTTCACTTTGGCAGCATCATGGATAATGAAGTTGAAGTGGGGAGGAGAAGAGGAATTGATACTTGGAATTGAAATAGTCTAGTCAAGAGATTTGGAGGGCATGGAGTCAAGAATTACTTGGGAAGGAGAGCTGATGAGACTTGGCAACTCACTGGATAGGAAGAAGTGAAGGATAATGACTCCCAGATTTCTGGCTTGGGTGGTTTGAGCAGATGATGTTATAGTCAGGGATGGATGAAATAAACCGAGGAAAATATGTAGTAGGGTGACCAGCCACCCTGGGTTTGCCCAGGATGGTCGATTTTGTCACTGCAAGTTCCACATCTCAAGAAACCCCTCAGACCCAGGCAGACAGGAATGGTCAGTCACTCTAATACATAGAGTGAAAAGATAGCTGAAGGCAGAACACCAACAGTTAAGGAAAGGGAGGAGGTAGAGAAGTCTCTTCAGAAAGTGAAGCAGAAGCAGTGAGAGGGGTAGCAGGAGACTCAGTGGGTCATGGTTTCATGGAAGCTGAGAGAGCAGGCTCTTCAAGAAGAGAGTGAACAGCAATGTAGGTTGAGTTTCTCTGGGGATTTTTAAATTTCTAGCTGTGCTTGGCAGAAGTATATTATAGAGAGACTGTAAATGTTTCTCGAAATAAAAGACATGTTATGTCTCTTTTTGTTGTTTTTAAACTGGATTGTTGAAGGGAGCCAACTTCTGATACTTGCTGGATCATAGGGTAAAAATGAATTTAGAGATTTTACTAAAAGCAGCATTATTTCTGCATTTAGTATTTGGCTATCTCAGGTTAATGAATTATTCTGAATACTGGGCGATGTGAGTAAGCTGTTACATTCTGCAATTCTGAATCGGCATTAAATCTGAGTAATCTTAAAATTGGAATTTCAGAGCTGGACATTTGTGATCATATACTTAGTAGTTCTTAATGTTTTGGAGTAATTCACTCTTCAGAATCCATCGAAAACTCTCACACATCTCCTCCCAAAAAAGCACATAAACATTTGCTGAAACTTTAGGGTTGGAGGGTTATAGATGGCCACCTGAATCCCAGGTTGAAAGAATCACTAATCTAATATAACCCTCCTGTTCACACCTTGGGATATTAAGAGGCCTAGACAAATTAATTATCTTATCCAGAGCTTAGACAGTTACCAAACTACTTCTTGATTCAGTGTTCTATTTATTATGTATCATTGCCACTGTTTTAATGCAGGTTCAGTCCCTCTTGGTCTATTATTAATCTTATTTCAGTTAATATACTGATCACTGTGCCAGCTCCATACAAGTGGACTCTACTCCCCATGTCCTGTCTACAGTCCATCCTTTTTTTAACTGACCATAAGCCAAGCAAAAATGCTACTGTTCAGAAAATTTGATGGACTACCAGATTTCATATATCTTTTAAGTCATTAATTAAGAGTTGATCATGTAAGAACTCTTACTGATGACTTACTTGTGGCTTGTTTTCTTTGGAACAGGATGCTGTATGATTATGTTGAAAGGAAACGAAAAGAAAATTCAGGAGCCCAACTGCATGTTACCTATTTGGTGTCTGGCAGTCTCATTCAGAATGGACATTCCGTAAGTTCTCAGAGCCTTGTAATGAGCTTAAATGTGTTTGTGTTATGAAGAGTGTTATAACATAGTTTAGGGGAGAGAAAAAAACCAAGATTCTGTGTTATAGTAGTTTTAAAGAGCTGTTTGATGGCGATGATTATTTTGGGTGTTTAAATCTAAAACTGAGAAGTTTGGGTAATATCTTGGCTGTGATGCAGAGACTGTATCATTATTATGCAATAAGATGTTAGGAGACTGCTTCTGTTATTCCCTGTATCTCTTTTTCCCTCTTGAAGGTATATGGGGAACAATGGTGCTTAATTTTACACCTGTTCAAATTTCAAATCACGAATACAAGTGTTCAAAAATTATAATTTCTTTAACTGAACTTCATTTTAATTTTGAACATTCATTTGGGTAGGCTTACGTCTAAGTGCCTAAAGGGTAAGGGTTTTTGGCAGGAGCATGGCTAATGCAGTGCATAGGGTGGGAACATTTTATTCTCCTTCCTCTTCTTTTTGTAGTCCCACCTGGTATCTGGTCATCTGGCACCGCAGGTGACTGCTGGATTTCATCATCCTGACTGTAAAGCTTTCTCAGGTCTGCTTGATTTTTTTCTTAGCTATTTTCATGTCCCTCTCAGGGGCACAGGGATCATTCTGTTACTCCCATGCCTTGGTGGGTACCAGAAGCTCTGCTAAGATGTCTTGTTCCCTCTCCTGCACCACACTGTGCCTTGGGAACTTTAATAATTCCCCTCTCTGGCGTCCTCCCAAAAGTAAGGCATACCTTCTCTGTTCTCACTTCCTCAGACTTCCTGTCTGAAGGTTCTTTTGGGCATAAAAAGCCCCATGGGACTTTGCCCAAAGGTCAGGTGGCCCCTTCTCAAAGATCTACTACGTTTTCCTCTTTCCTTTGATTTTCCCTCAGAATCATAAGTTCAGAGCCCTGATTTGTCGAAATATTGACTGGATTTGTTTTTTAGCAATTGAGTCTCAAGCATGTGAGATTTAAAACTGAAATGTCAGGCTGGGTACAGTGCCTCGCTCCTGTAATCTCAGCCCTTTGGGAAGCTGGGTTAGGAGAATCACTTGAGCCCAGGAGTTCGAGACCAGCCTGGGCAACCTAGCGAAACCCCATCTCTACAAAAAATACAAAAACGAGCCGGGCATGGTGGCATGCGCCTGTAGTCCCGCCTGCTCAGGAGGCTGAAGTGGGAAGGATCACTTGAGCCCATAAGGTCAAGGCTGCAGTGAGCTGTGATTGCACCACTGTACTCCAGCTTGGGTGATATAAAATAAAACTGGAATGTCAGTTTAGTAATTTACAAGGAGCAACAAAACTGCTAGAAGGATCAGATACTTAATACTCTCTAGCCAACATATTCTTTTCTTGTTTGCAAGCTATTTGGCAAGCCAAATGATAACCAAGATATTTGCAAGTGTAAAATAAGATGTCATTTATATCTCTGAAGCAAAGTTAAACAGATGTGACTCATTTACTTTCAGAGATAAACCTGCCTCCAGAGTTCTGCCACTCTAGAGCTCTTGAATGGTTATTGTCAAAGATTATAGCTGATTGTCATATTTTCTTCTGTTTACAGGGTCAGCTAACCTTCTGTCTCTTTCTTTAGTTATGTCAATGCCCTCAATCTAGTCATATTTAAGCCTTTACTTGGGAATCTTTATATTTCTTTAAAGCAGTAATTTTTTTTCTTTTTTTGGTCACTGAGAATCTGAAAGAAAAATGCATATGTTGACATTCATAAAATTTTGAGTTCATGGATCTTCTGGAATAGGATCCCAAGTTAATAATTTGTGTTTTAAGATAATATAGATTTTTACTCAAACTGACCCATTATAACAGGGGCTCTTAATTTAGGATTCTTGGACAGTCTTCATGGTTGGTCTTCAGAGTCCAGAGTTTTCTTGGATGACACTGAAAGTGTTCAAATTGTGTTCCTCAGTGCATATTTCTGAGACCATTTTTCAAAATGATGTATAACCTATAATCAGTTAAAAACTTCTAAGCCATGGCTTGCTTATAAAAAGGTTTTCTGTTTCTAAGTATAAGATGGCATTTAAAATTCTGCCTATCTTTTTTTAGCAGGAGAATGCTTTTTCAAACAAAATCTTAATCAGAGTTCTATATGTAAAATTTATTAAGAGCGTGGTTGCTGTGGTTGAAGTGGTTGTGAGGATTTTGGAGCCCTGGACTTGCCCTCCCAATAGCCTCACTGGGAAGCTCTGTGGAGCCCTGTGGAATTAACTGACCAAACGTGGATGCTTACCTATGCTTTTTTTCCCTTAAAGGGAATCCTAAGGAAAGGCAAATTCTTAAGCATTATGTCAGGTTTTGTTCTTTTAATTCTTGTATTAATAATTTCCTTTTCAAGTTTTTAGTGCTTCTAGAAAGAAAAAAAGACATTACACGGCTTTGTATGGAATTTTTAATCATTTTTATTTTTATTTATTTTTTGAGACAGGGTCTCACTTTGTCACCCAGGCTATAGTGCAGTGGCAGAATCTCGGTTCACTGTAGCCTCAACCTCCTGGGTTTAAGCCATCCTCCTGCCTCAACCCCGCAAGTAGCTGGGATTACAGGTGCTCGCCACCATGCCCAGCTAATTTTTGTATTTTTTGTAGGGGTAGGGTTTTGTCATGTTGCCCAGGCTGGTCTCGAACTTCTAAGCTCAAGTGATCTGCCCTTCTCGGCCTTTCAAAGTGCTAGGATTACAGAAGTGAGCCACTGTGCCTGACCTGGATTTTTTTAAATGTAAATAATTTTTATTTTTCCAATGATTATTATAAAAAATGTTTAAAAATATATAGAACGTGAAAGCTTCCTTCAAATCTCATTCCAGAGATTCTTCCAGAGGATTATTTGAAAATTTCAAGGAAATATTTGGCTGGTTCTTTTTGTAATGTGAAGAACTGTCAACCTGATCTATGCTTTATGGGTTCCCTATTAGCTTTTCATCTAATGATTTTAGCTGAGATTAGTTTTAATCATTGCCTAAATCATTAATTCACTAAAGGTTACAAAATGGTGATGTTTTGCCTTGAACTCCTGGGCCCAAGTGATCCCCTTGCCTCAGCCTCCTGAGTAGCTAGGGCTGCAGACATGCACCACCATGCCTGGCTAATTTTTTACTTTTATTTTTGTTAGAGACGAGGTCTCACTATGTTGCCCAGGCTGGGTTTTTTTGTTGTTGTTTTTGAGACGGAGTCTTGCTCCGTCGCCCAGGGTGGAGTGCAGTGGCGCGATCTCGGCTCACTGCAAGCTCTGCCTCCTGGGTTCACGCCATTCTCCTGCCTCAGCCTCCTGAGTAGCTGGGACTACAGGTGCCCGCCACCACGCCCAGCTAATTTTTTGTATTTTAATAGAAATGGGGTTTCACTGTGTTAGCCAGGATGGTCTCGATCTCCTGACCTCATGATCCACCCGCCTCAGCCTCCCAAAGTGTTGGGATTACAGGTGTGAGCCACCGCACCTGGCCGACTGGTCTTAAACTTCTGGGCTCAAATGATCCTCATGCTTCTGCCTCCCTAAGTGCTGGGATTACAGCCATGAACCACGACACCTGGCCTTTCTGTTTTTTTAGCCGTAATTTTTCTATGAAGAATTTTCTCTCATCAGCTAGCCATGTTTTCCCTGTTCTGCTAAGAACAGGGGGCTTACCCCCTCCTAGGCTCTGGGTTTGTGGATGCTCCCTAACTCCCATGTCCACAAGGAACCCATTGAATCAGAGCTCTACTCTGGTCTGCATTGTTTTAGCACCAGCTGCATTTCCATTCTGTTGTTTTTTATGTACTTTCAGTATCCCCCGAGGCAGTATATAGCCACTCTGACCTGTCTGGCCTATTCAGATCTTCTCATGAGGTGCGAATTACTGTTTTTAGGGCTCTTTACTGCAAAGCTTCATAGGTTTTGAGTGATTCATTCCTAATGGTCTGTACTTTTTATAATCTCTGTAATTTTTAGTGTGCAGTTTTACAGAACCTGACTTTTTTCTTCCCTTAAATAAACCAGTAAAAATGACATTTTTAGGACTGCCTGTTTTAAGAGAAAACACATTATGAGAACATTAATAATCCCAGCTCAAACTTATGGTTACACTTTTTAAAATACTTATTTGATGTTTAGATTGCTCTTTTTTTTATGTTGTGAATTTTGGTGATTCCGAACATTAACAAAAATATCTATTTGCTTTACACAAATATACAAGGTTTCGACAAGCAAAACCAGTATTATTACCAACAATTTGATTACTGAAAATAAGATTTCTTTGCAGTTCTTTGTCTGTAGGATATGTCCTGCTAAGGATGCACAGTCATCCTGTATTTTAGAATCACTTGAAATAATTCCTCACTCTACTGAAGCCACCAATTCAATATCTAGTTAAATTCAATTTTTTTTTTTTCCATTTTGCTTTCAATTCATAGGTTCCCTCCTTTCCCTTACAGGTAACTATTACGTTGGGTTTGCCTTCTCCTTCCTTTTTTTTTTTTCAGATGGAATTTCGCTCTGTCGCCCAGGCGTTGGAGTGCAGTGGTGCGATCTCAGCTCACTGCACCCTCTGCCTCCTGGGTTTAAGCAATTCTCCTCCTCAGTCTTCCAAGTAGCTGGGATTACAGGCACCCACCACCATGCTCGGCTAATATTTTTTTGTATTTTAGTAGAGACGGGGCTTCGCCATCTTGGCCAGGCTGATCTGGAACTCCTGACCTCGTGATCCACCCACCTCAAACTCCCAAAGTGCTGGGATTACAGGCGTGAGCCATTGCGCCTGGCCTGTTGTATATATTTTTAATATAAGAAAATATATATTAATTTTGCCTCTCTTTCTTAGATAGATGTTTTCATACGTGCAACCTATTTTGCACTCTGGTTTTTTTTTTTTACATAACAGTAGATTCAGAGCATCACTCCACAGCAGTTATAGAAATATTCCTCATTATTATAGCCACATAGTGCCACATTGATAGATATACCTTAGCTTATTCAGCAATCCTTTATTGGTAGTTGTTATTTACGATCTTTGGCTATTACAGATATTAATAGTGCTGTAGTGAATAGCTTAGTGTCTATGTGTTTTGTATATTTTTGCTAGTGTGTTTTAGGGTTACATTCCTAGAGTAGAATTGCTTGGTCAAAGGGTGAGTGCATGTGTACTTTTGTTGGATATTGCCAAATATCACTCTGTTTCTTGTTCCCACCAACAATGTATGAAAGTTCCTGTTTCCGTACAGCATATGTTATCATATGTTTTAGGGATATTTATATTTCTTTTTCTGTGAACTATCTGTTCCTACCACTTGCCCTTTTTTTTTTTTTTTTTTCCTTTTTTGAGATGGAGTCTTACTCTGTCACCAGGCTGGAGTGCAGTGGCACAATCTCAGCTCACTGAAACCTCCACCTCCCGGAATTAAGCGACTTTCCTGCCTCAGCCTCCCGAGTAGCTGGGACTACAGGCACGCACCACCACGCCTAGCTAATTTTTGTATTTTTAGTAGAAACGGGGTTTCACCATGTTGGCCAGGAAGATCTCCATCTCTTGACCTCATGATCTGCCTGCCTCAGCCTCCCAAAGTACTGGGATTACAGGCATGAGCCACTGCGTCTGGCCTCTCTTGCCCATTTTCTAAAGGGTTGTTAGTCTTTGTTTTCTTTATTTTTAGAAGTTGCATATTAACCCTTTGTGATGTAAGTTGCAGATTTTTTTTCCACTTTATTGTTTGTTTTTGTACTAAATTTTTTTTTTCATTTAAATTTTTTTTTTATAGATTATTTCAGTTATTTCTGGATTTCAAATTATACTTAGGAAATGTTCCCTCTTTCTTAGGTTATAGCCGGTTATAGAATTCACACACGTTTTCATGTGCATGTGTGTGTTCTTTTCTTTTTTTTTGAGACCAAGTGTCACTCTTGTCGCCTAGGCTGGAGTGCAGTGGCACAATCTTAGCTCACTGCAACCTCCGCCTCCCAGGTTCAAGTGATTCTCCTGCCTCACCCTCCTGAGTAGCTGGGATTACAGGCGCCTGCCACCACACCCAGCTAATTTTTGTATTTTTAGTAGAGACAGGGCCTCACCATGTTGGCCAAGGTGGTCTCAAACTCCTGACCTCAGGTGATCCACCCACTTCAGCCTCCCAAAGTGCTGGGATTACAGGCATGAGTCACCGCACTCAGCCTCATTTTTTACATTTAAATCTCTGATCTATTTAGAATTTATTTTGGTATATGGTATGAGGAACAGATCCAATTTTTATGTGGCTCCATATGATTATACAGTAATTCTTATTAAATCACTCACTAAAAAGCCTTTGCTCACACTGATTTGAGATGCTTTATTTTTTAAATTGTAGTACTGAAATCTGTACTAGATCACTTTTCTTAACCTTATTGAGAAGTTTTAAGATAAGCAAATTATTTTTTTCCTGAAAGTAAGCAAATTAAAAGTGAGTCTGACTTTATTAAATTATAACATATATTTTAAGGAGTGCCTGGTGTTTTCCTAATTCACATCCAAGCACAATTGAATTATTGGAGCAAGGAAATTAAAATTGCAGATTCTTACATTAAGCACTAATCAAGTGTTGTTTTCTTACAGTGCCACAAGGTTGCAGTAGTGAGAGAAGATAAATTGGAAGGTAAGTGTTTTAGTGACTTAGCAAGTTTTCCTCTTATGGCATCAATGTAGGTGCAATAAAAAATCTGCCTCTAACATCTGCATATATTTAGCTATTTAACTGAATAGCCCAATAGTCATTTTATTAGTAGTTTTTGAAGCATGTTAAAATATGATACTACATCTGCCTAACTTCCCATTTTTAGGGCCAATAGCTGCTGACATTTATAAAGCACTTTTATCATAGAATTTCAAAACTCGTGACACATGCAGAAACTGTTATGAATACCATATGAGCTACCTCATCAACTGTAAAAAGACAGTGGCAGTTTTTTTAGGAAGCAAGTTAAAGAATGCTTTTCTGGAAGTTAGAAAGACTTCTAAATTAAATTTGTCTCACTCTTTCAAGACTATTAGTGCTACCATTCGATTGTTTAAAAACCCAATTCAAAGGAATTTAATAACAGGGTTCTCCTGATCTTGGACCTATATCTCAAGACAAAACCTGTACTGTTGTACTTTGTATATAAAGGCTCCTTGGCCTGCAGGCCCCATTTCACAGATTGGGACTGAGGAGGGTGGAGGGCAGCCATGTCAGGGACACAAAAAATATGTGTATTTTAAAAAGAAAGAGCTCCTGCCTGTGAGGGTAGGATGGGGGTATTTTACCAAATTTAACTCTAAAGTATTCAGAGTGGTGGGTTTGTCTACTTTTTACTTTCTGAATTCCCACAGTGTTAAGCAAAGCAAAATTTCTTTATTGTATAGATAGGTAATGATTATCTACTATGTGCCAAGCTCTATACTAGGAACTGGGGACATGGAACAAGTTAGCTGCAATCCTTTCCTTCACAGAACCTAACATTTGTTCTTGTGGTGTTCTTTTGTGTTTCTCCTCCGTAGGCTTATCTAGTTTGCATTGTTTTTATTATAGAGTTGCTTTCTCTAAACTAAAATTGAAATATATAAATGATATTCTCAGATATAAATTACTTAGTCCTCTTTAATTATATGCTATAGTGTAAGGCTCTTTTCTGACCGAAAGAAAAAGATCATCGTAGTCATCGTCAATCATTAATATTTACTGAGTGTCCACTGCATGACTGATACCCTCACAGGTGCTGTACTTAGAAATGACTCACCACCACCAACTTGTCATAATGTCCCCATTGCAGACAGAAGGGTTGATGTTTTACTGTATATGTGGCTATGTGGCCTTTTAGAGTTTTTTGGACCACCGCAGATTACAAATGCTTTAATGCAGAAGGGTTTCTTGTTAAAGTCCTCTATGCTATGAAGTTTGTGTATTAACAGACTGCTTTTCCTGTTGACTTGTAGCAGTGAAGTCCAAGCTAGCTGTGACTGCCAGCATCCATGTGTACAGCATCCAGAAAGCCATGCTAAAGGACAGTGGGCCTCTGTTCAATACTGACTATGACATCCTTAAAAGCAACTTGCAGAACTGCAGCAAGTAAGCTTCTTAATGTTCCTTGTGGGCTTCTTTACGAATTGATTTTGTAAGATGTTTACACAGTGGCTGCCTCTTAAGAGTGAATGCCAAGTCTAGTAAAACCCCATTTATCTTGCAATAAGACACATGCCTGGTTTTATTAGTACATCATAAGGTGAAAAATAGCAGCCACAACCCATATTGAAAACCCCAGTGGACTCCCCATAAATCTACTTCTCATGTATTTATCCTGTCACTGCCACCAGAAATGTTTGTCGTGCCCTTTCTAACTCCCTTACCCAGTCTCTGCTTGTCTAAATCCTACCTATCCTTCAACTAGTTCAAATGTTGTCCTTAAAAAAATAATTCCTAATTTGATACCCCTCTACTTTTCATCCAAAAACAACTTTTTCTTAAGCTTCCATACCAGGATCAGGTTTTTAAAATCTTTTGTATCCTTAACAGCACAAGGAGGTAATGGGCTATAATGCATGTACATTTTGGAAATTGGTGGTCACAGGCTTGAGTTGTGGCTTTGCTGCTTAGTAGCCCGGTGGCATTGGACGAATTACTTAAACTCTTTGAGCTTTGGTTTCTTTGCCTTTAAATTCGATGTAATAATGTCTACTTCGTGGGGTTGTATTGAGAATTCAGATCAGTTCCCCAGATATATATTGAGCACCTACTGCTGTGACAGGTACTGAGTAAAATCATTTGAATTCATTCAGCAAATATTTCATGATACCTGTGACATACCATACAGTAGAGAGTGAATGTGCCCGTGTACCTTTTCATGTAACTGATGGGAGACAGGAGTTATGATACAGTGTAAGAGTGCTGTAATAGGAGGAATATTGGGGGAAGATGTTGGCTGGGGCACTTATCTCCCACTTTTGGATGGATAGAGTCAGGGGACAAGACAGTTATGACTTATGACACTGAAGGTTATAACATCTCACTTGAGGCTTGAAGGCCCAATAGAAATAGCCAAGCAAAGGAGAAATGAGAGGCTAAGGACAGAGCTAAGAGAGAAAACATGCTTGTGCAGAACCACAATCGTTTTCTGTGGCTGCAACTTAGAGTGAAAGGTAGGAAATAATTAGATAGAAGACTAAAAAGGCCAAGCAGGAATTACATTATGCTTTGATTACTAGGATAAAAATTTAGACTCTATTCTGAGAGCACTGGGGAGCCACTGAAAATATTTAAGCAGATGGAGTGAAATTATCAAAATTGCATTTTAGAAAGATTGTTCTGGCTGCAGTATTGAAGATAGATCAGAAGAGAATAATCTGGAGGCAAGGCCATCTGGGAGGAGAAATGTGGCTGTGATCCAGGTGGATACGACAGTTTTCTGATGTAAAGTTGTGCTGTTGGGGATGGAGAGGTGTGAAGTTTAATGAGTCATGACCATCAAAAAACCTTGACGTGGCCGGGCGTGGTGGCTAATGCCTGTAATCCCAGCACCCAGCACTTTGGGAGGCCGAGGCTGGTGGATCACAAGGTCAGATCAAGACCATCCTGGCTAACACGGTGAAACCCTGTCTCTTCTAAAAATACAAAAAATTAGCCGGGCGTGGTGGCAGGCGTCTGTAGTCCCAGCTACCCGGGAGGCTGAGGCAGGAGAATGGCATGAACCTGGGAGGCGGAGCTTGCAGTGAGCCGAGATCACTCCACTGCACTCCAGCCTGGGCGACAGAGCGAGACTCTGTCTCAAAAAAAAATAAAAAACAACCTCAATGTATGGTAGTGGTCAGGGACAAGGTGTGTGGGGGTAGGGGATGGGGGAAGATAGCCTTTCTTGGTATTAAAAGTTTGATACCCATGCTTCTGGCTTGGGCAGCTGAGTACTAAGAAGGGGAATATAACAGGAGGAGCAGGCTTTAGGAGAGAGAGAAAAATGACAAATTGGGTTTTAGAGATGTTGAGTTTGAGAAGCCTGTGAGAAATCCAAGTGAGGATGTCCATCGCAAAAGATAGGTGAATCTAGAGCTAAGGAGAGAAATCTGGGTTAAAGAGAGATTTTGGAATCAGAAAGAATAGTAACTGGGCCATAGTAGTAGATAGTTATGCAGAGAGAATGTATAGAATGAAAGAAGGGCAGAAAGTAAAACTCTAGGCCAAATTACTAGCTGCGTGACCTTGGGCAAATTATTTAACTTCTCGGTGCCTCAATTTTCTTGTCAGTAAAGCTGATAATAGTACCAGCCAAATAGGGTTGTAGAGGATTAAATGGACTATTATATGTTAAGCACTTAGAATAGCACTTGGCACATAGTAAGCACTATTTAATGATAGTTGCTTTTCAAGGGAAGAACAGAAAAAGGGGGGCTCAAGAGGGAGCCATCAGAGATAAGAGTATATGGGGTTTTAGCCCCTAAGGAAAGAGATTCAAGTAGGAGGGACCAGTCAACAATGTTAAACGTTGCTGAGAAGCCAAGTAAGTTAGAAAGTGAAAATTATCCATGGAATTTAGTGATAGCCTTGGTAAGAGCATTTTCAGTGGAATGACCAGATTCTGGTGAGCTAAGTAAATGGGAACACAGGAAGTGAGACAGCAAATATGGACAGATCTTTCCAGGAGATTTGACTGCAAAGCAGAAAAGAGGGTGGTAGCTAAGGAGGGATTGAGACGGGAAGGATATATACGTTTCTAAAGTTGAGAATGACTTGAACTTGGATTGTTAGGAGGGTGCTATAGAGAAGAAAAGGCTGAAAATCCTGGGGAGGTGGGATGACTGATAAAGATGGGTCCTCAGGGAGAGAGAGAGACAGAATTGCCATAGTTTCTGTAAGTTCCATGAGAATAGGGATCGTGTCTCAGTTGTTAACTATATACCCAAAATAGTGCCTGGCACACTAATAAGTAGTTATTGAGTGAATTAGTGATAGACATTAGTTCTTTTTTTTCTTTAGCTCAAAACCTTGAGCATAAGTATACAAATATTTATTAAATAAACAAATGTATAGCCAAAGAGTAATAATTTACAAGTCTCTTGTCTTTTAGGGAAGGATTTCAAGAAAATATTAACACCCTGATAAGTTTATTTGCAATATATTACTAGATTTCAAAAAATTTTAAAATCTAGTTGGGTATTCCAGGCTCTAAAAATCAGTTCCTTTGTTGTATCTAGCAAGTAAGCAAACAAGAATAAAAGTGACGCAAAAGTTCAAAATGAAATCTGCCAGGGCCCACTAAAATAAACATGGCAAGTAGAAATGTGGTAATAGGAAGCACTTCAGTGAAACTTTACCTAATTACTTAAAGTATCCTCAGTAGAAAAGTGAATTTATCTCCAACAAATGAGTTTGTATTTGGTCCTGAGAATTATGGGCCAACTGAGATCTGACTCATGATTTCGTGTGTTTTAAGTGCCATGACATGAAGAAAGTTGAAATTTTAGGATTGACCAGAGATCTCTTGTCATCAGACATACTCCCAGCCTAACTCGGTCTCTTCCTCATTGCCAATTCCTGGTCCTGACCCTAAGGTGTGGAATTCAAACCAGAAGGAGAAAGAGTTGTTTCAACGCCAACTTCAGACATTGACAGTGAAATAAAACATTACCCTTTTCCTTGTATGTGGAAGTACTGCAAGGCCAGAGAGGAAGAGCAGTGGGTGAAAGCAAATGATTTCCATCTGTTCTTAACTCTGATGCACAAAAGATGTGTGTAAATACAGAGTTTTCTGATGAAGACCATAATAAATCAGTGGAAGATTTTTGGAGCTTTTGACTCTAGCTTTGGGGCTGTCCAGTCTAAAGTTACTTCTGAGATGAAATGATGTATCAGGGATTTTCTTTTTTTTTTCATTAGACCAGGTGTTCTAGCAGTTAATCTCGAAGTTGTGCCTGGTTGATCTTTAAGATAATTGCTATCACCACATAGTTTAGAAATCTCCCACCCCAAGTTGAAGGTGATACACTAAAGAAGGGAGAGAAGCCAGAAGCCTCACTTTCATTCACTTAGTCATTCTTTCAACATGTTGTTTCTAGCACTTTTCTGTGCCAGGTCTTGAGCTGGGTGCCTGAAATAAAAAAGATAAATAAGACTTCAAGGAGTTCTTACGTATGCTCAATAAGCAAGACTGGGAAAAATAAAATATTTTTCTTTGTTAGAAAAAGCTGGGGAACTTTGCTTTTTCTAACAAAGAAAATAATCCTGTGAGAAGGCTAAATTAATTACCTATTCACAATGTGGAATGTTACATTATGGATTTGTGTGAAACGGCACTTCTATAATGATTAGAGAAGAGATGTATGTTCCCTTTAATATGCCACGCAAGCTGTTCCACCAATTTTCTTCTCTTGGCCTTGGGCATACTTACTTGTCTGGTGTCGTTAGTATTATTAGAAATTATTAACAAATGGCTGTCAAGGACTATAGGTTATTGGAGCCAGTGGCTCTGCTCCCAGCTTCTCCTATTTTTCTTTTTTTTTGTTTTTTGTTTTGAGACAGAGTCTCACTCTGTCACCCAGGCTGGAGTGCAGTGGTGTGATCTTGGCTCACTGTAACCTCTGCCTCCCAGGTTCAAGCAATTCTCCTGCCTCAGCCTCCTGAGTAGCTGGGATTACAGGCACGTGCCACCATGCCCAGCTAACTTTTGTATTTTCAGTAAAGACAGGGTTTTGCCGTGTGCCAGGCTGGTCTTGAACTCCTGACCTCATGATCCACCTGCCTCGGCCTCCCAAAATGTTGGGATTACAGGCGTGAGCCACCACACCCAGCCTTTTCCTTGTTTTAAAGCATGATTTGTTTATTTATTTTGAGACAGCGTCTCACTCTGTTCCCTAGACTGGAGTTGAGTGATGAGCTTATGGCTCAGTGCAACCTGGACCTCCTGAATTCAGGTGATCCTCCTACCTTGGCCTCCCGAGTAATCAGGGCTATAGGCGTGTGCCACCACACCCAACTAATTTTTGTGTTTTTTGTAGAAACAAAGTTTCACCATGTTGCCCAGGCCGTCTTAAATTCCTAGACTTACACGATCTGCCTACCTCAGGTTCCCAAACCTCTGGGATTACAAGCATGAGCCAGCACACCCAACCCTGCAGCATGATTTACTCTGGCCAAGAGCGTTGCCAGGAAATTTGTTAATATTTAAAGCTTAGTTTTGATTCAGTCAATATTTATTGCAAATCTAGCCCTATCAGAGGAAGGTCTTTAAAAACAAGGGCTATTTCATTTCCCAAGGATAACGAAATTACTGCGTCTTTTATTATTGTTGGTTGCATTCTTTTTTGAATTAGGATACTTTTTTCAAAAAAAGCAAGAATATTTAATTAATGGTGGTAGAAGGCACCTAATTCCAACCCTGTCTGTTACTAACTAGATGTATGACCTAGTACAAGTGACTCACTTCTCTCTAGTATTTGTTTCTTTATGTAATAGAGAGTTTCATACAACATTTTTCTAAAGTTGATTTTAAACAATATTAGAGTTAAGTATTGTGTGGAAGAAGCAAGAATTTGAAAATAAGGTTGTATACTGACATTAGTTTTTTTTTCTTTCTCTTTTTTTTGTTGAACCACCCAAGAATGCATATGCTGACATTAACTTAATGTAACATTTCTGTCCCTAGATTTAGTGCTATACAATGTGCAGCTGCAGTCCCTAGATCTCCTGCTGAATCTTCTTCATCTTCCAAAAAGTTTGAGCAGTCACATCTTCACATGTCAAGTGAGACACAAGCCAACAATGAGCTGACCACCAATGGTCATGGCCCACCTGCATCCAAGCAGGTTTCCCAGCAGCCCAAAGGAATTATGGGAATGTTTGCCTCCAAAGCTGCTGCTAAAACCCAAGAAACCAACAAGGAAGCTAAAACAGAGGCTAAGGAAGTAACAAATGTAAGTCTTCTTTGAAGATACCCTTCATTACAGCTCAGAGTGGGTAACTAGAAAAGCATTAATGGTCCCAGTGGTAGTAGTTTATTTATGTAAGGTTCTGATACTCAGTTCTGATTTTTCTACTTTAGTTTGAACGCTTTAATACTTGATACTGTTACCTGAAAGAGTTCTTTTGCTTTTGATAATGATTCTCACCAAGCCTTGGATTTCCTTTGCAAACGAGATTGTTGTGAGACCCAGATGAAAACATGTGAAAACACCTCTAAAATTGTTAACATTCAAAAAAATGTTTATTTGCAATATGTCATTCTGAGGAATATCTTATGTTCTGGGCTTTGCAATATATACCTTCCTTCCTAGTGTATTTCCCATTCTTATTATACTTTATGTGGGTTTTTTTGTTTTGTTTTTGCTTTATTTGCTTCCCTTAGATTTTTATTGTTCAGTCATCTGAACTAACTTAAGGGCATTGACTTAAGAAAAGTATCATTCCAATACTATTTTAAAAATCCAGAAAAGTATAATTATTGTTGTTACTATTATTATCACTGTCATTTTCAAGTGTCAAGTGTATTCAATTCAGATCACTGTCATTTTCAAGTGTCTGTCTTGGGGAAGAAGGATGGAGGAAAACAATAATGTTTATTGAATTTCAGCTGTGTGCCAATAGTTTGGTCTTTGTTCAAATCCTCTTATCAGTTCTGTGAGGGAGGTATTAACTATTTCCCTTTCACATATGGTAAAACTGAAACCTAGACTTAAGTAATTTGCCTGGAGCTCATATTGCTACTAAACGGTGGGAACCAGGAATTCAGATCTACTTCTGATGATTAAAAATGTAATGTTTTAGGTTTTCCCGCTTTGTGTACATACTGCCTCTGATCTTTTTTAATTCTGTCAAATTAAATAGTTTTTAAATGTGCTCAAGAAAAGTTTAGACATATCCATGGGTACTTAATTTTATAAGATCTATAAGAAACTAAGCTTTAGAGATTAACACCAGTTACTATCTGGTGTGGTTTATTGTTCTAGATTTGTTCTTGTATCTAACGCCTCCGCATTTTGGCACTATTATATAGAGACTATACTATCGCAGCAGTGTGCTATAGAAAAGATTGTTTGAGACTGCTACTTCATGAGCAGCCTAAATGCTAGCAAAAAATCATACGTGTTTTCTGTGCTTGTAGGCATCTTCAGCAGGCAACAAGGCCCCAGGGAAAGGGAATATGATGAGCAACTTTTTTGGAAAAGCTGCTATGAGTAAGCATGTTCTTACCTTACTTTGACTAATGAATGAATGTTAATGTAATGACATTATACCGGAAGTAAAAGTTACTTTGTTTAGTTTTTGCCTGTCCAGGAGACTACCTGCATCCTAACATAAATTTACAGTGTACTGCCCAATATATTGATGAAAGTAACTTAGCTGGAACTTTATGGGTGAGTTAGGCTCAGTTGAGATCTCTTCGAGAGCAGTTTATTATTCCTGGTTTAACTTCCCGCCTTGAAAAGATAATGAACTATTTCCTTCATAGGGCCCTTGAAAATGGGTGATTAAAATAAAAGGGAGGCTGCCTGGCTACGCAGTATAGTATTGAGGTTAATAACATGGATGCTAGAGTCAGTTTGCCTGGTGTGACCTTTATTTCTTCTATCTCTCAAGGGTCCACAAAAGCAAATATTTTGCCTTTCTTTGGTTATTTTTTGCAGATTACTTACAGTAATGAATTAGACTTCCAGTGTGAATTAGAAGGGCCCGAGTCATAATGGACATTTAAAAATCTTTTTTTGAGAAAGCAAAAATCTTCTTTATTTTTAAAAAGATACTTAAGTAAGAATTCTTCTGTATGGAAAGAACCAGTAGTCACATATTTTCATACTCCTCATATCAAGTGTACATCCCCTGAGAGTATGTGGTAGAATACCAGGAAGAATGCAGGAGCCACAGGATAATTATGGCACACTTTCTTGGAGCATCAGTTTTACAAAGATTTTTCAAGGAGGCATTTTGTTACATGCCTATGCAAGCAAAATTAGTCAAAATTCTGCCTTTCCATGATGGCTAAATTTTTTTTCATATTCTGCTTATGTAAGCGTGACAGTTTTTGTGTTTGCTATAAAAGCTGTCAGAGAACATTTTTGTGTTCTTGCAGCTCAGAATGGGTAACTAGAAAAGTGAATGGAAAATGTGATACTTAAAGGTTTCTGGGAAGCATTGTTGTATTACTGCAGGCACAGTTGGTGTACAGGGAATGATTCCTACTTCCGTTAAAACAGGTCCCCAACCCACAGGCCACTGATGGGTAGCAGTCCGGGGCCTGTTGGGGACTGGTTTGCACAGGAGGTGAGCAGCAAATGAGCAAGCATTATTATGCCTGAACTCCACCTCCTGTCAGATCAGTGGTGGCATTAGATTCTTATAGGATTGCGAACCCTTTTGTGAACTGTGCATGTGAGGGATCTAGGTTGCGGGCTCCTTATGAGAATCTAATGCCTGATGATCTGAGGTGGAACAGTTTCATCCTGAAACCACCCCTACCCTGCTGCCCACCACCACCCCTGCCTATGGAAAAATTGTCTACCATGAAACTGGTCCCTGGTGCCAAAAAGGTTGGGGACTGCTGTGTTAAAGCATCATGCTGTCACTGACCTGCCTAGCTGGTATGGGCCACTGTACCCAATCAGATCATGGTTTCTTGGCAACTTTGATGAGACCCATCTTTTTGTTGGTTGCTTTTTTTTTAATGCATTTGTAACCTTAAAAACCCAGTGAATTTTAAAATTCTTATTTTTAAAATACATAAAATATGTGATTGTGAATTGTTTAAAAAAATCAAACTATACAGAAGTGTACTTATTTAAGTCATGTGTTTAGTTAGCAAATAGATCAAGCACCTGCTATATGCTTGGCATTGTTATGCACTGGTGATACAATAGAGAAAAAGACAAGGTCCCTGCCTCAAGTCCTTATACTCTACTGAGAGAGATGGACAAATAAATATGGAAAAAAAGCCAGGCATGGTGGTACATGCCTATAATCCCAGCTACTCGGGAGACCGAGGCAGGAGATTTGCTTGAGCCCATGAATTCAAATCCAGCCAAAAATATAGCAAGACCCCATTCCTAAAAAAAAAAAAAAAATGGATGATTGTAATTGCTAGGTAGGAGTAATAAGGTGTTATAATGGCACGTAATTCAGTGAGGGGGAAAACCTGGATAAAATAAAATACTATTAAATATTAATGTAAAAAAAAGAATTGCTTACAAAGTTAATTTATTTAACAGACATTTCTTCAAGGCTGAATGTTCAGAGTAAAATTAGGACTTTTTTATTGTATTTGACACATGACAAGATCATTACAATGAAAATGAAGCTTGAGAATTGGATGAAGAGAGTTCATTGTGGGGACTTGAACCATGTAAACTTAATATTGGACAGTAACAAGTGTTGCCAAGGATATGGAGAAATTGAACCCTCACGTTCTGCTGTGGGGAATGTAAAATGATGTGTACTCACTTTGGAAAATGATATGGCAGTACTTCTAAAAGTTAAACATAGAGCAGCAGTTCCTCTCCTAGATATCTACTCAAGGGAATTAAAACTGTATGTCCACACAAAAACTTGTACATAGATGTTCATAGCAGCATTCTTCATAATAGCCAAAAATTGAAACAGTCCAAAAGTCTGTCATCTGATGAATGGATAAACAAAGGTGGTATATCCAGACAATGAAATGTTATTCAGCTATAAAAAGTAATGAAGTACAGATTGATATGTGATATACATGGATGAACCTTGAAATATTAAGTGAAATAAGCCAGATAGAAAAGATCATATATGATTTCATTTGTATGAAACATCCAGAATAGGCAAGTCTATAGAGACAGTAGGGGCCGGGCGTGGTGGCTCAAGCCTGTAATCCCAGCACTTTGGGAGGCTGAGGCGGGCGGATCATGAGGTCAGGAGATCGAGACCATCCTGGTTAACACGGTAAAAATCCGTCTCTACTAAAAAAATACAAAAAATTAGCCGGGCATGGTGGCGGGCACCTGTAGTCCCAGCTACTCGGGAGGCTGAGGCAGGAGGATGGCGTGAACCCGGCAGACAGAGCTTGCAGTGAGCCAAGATCGCTGCACTGCACTCCAGCCTGGGCAACAGAGTGAGACTCTGTCTCAAAAAAAAAAAAAAAAAAAAAAGAGAGAAAGAGGAAGGAGAGGAGAGGAAGATTGGTTGTCAGGGACTGGACTGGGGTCAAGGAGGAATGCTAATGGGTTCAGGGTTTCTTTTTGGGGTGATGAAAATGCTCTAAAACTGGACAGTTATGGTGGATATACAACCAAAACCCACTGAATGTAAAGTGATGAATTTTATGGTATGTGAATTATATCTCAATTTTTAAAAGTAATGCTTTATATGTGATAAAATTCAGCATTGATTACAAAATTTAAAGGTCATAATTGGTTATCTTTATTTGCTTGAAAAGGTTTCATGTTTTCTTGAGTATAAGAAGGAAATGCTTTTAATCAGCTAGAAAATAGGCGACTTGATCATTCAGGTAACAAAATGTCATTAAATTTTCCTTAATAATCGCCTTAAATTGTTGCATTGAACTACCTCTTTACCAGTTAATTGGCTATTGGTAGCTGCATATATGTTTAAGTTAGAGTTCTCAAAATTCTGTGAAACCAAGACAGAGAGAAGAAACTCTGGATGCTGAATCTAATGTTTGATCAGTGGTATTTTAATTGAGATCGGTTTTCTGTAATTGGTAAACTCAATGCAGTAGCCTCGCTTTCCTTAATACATAAGGTAGGTAGGAAGTGTTTGGAGGTTTTTTCTCCTAATGATGCCATTTTTAAAACAATTGCTATTAAAACAGTATAATTTATGTGATAGATTGAAAATTTTGCATAAATTTTAAAGCTACACATGTGACTCCAGTGTACTGTATTTTTTGGATTGGCTGTTGACCCCTAGAGCCCTGGAGATGCATGTTTACTCTCTTATACAATTTGGGATATTTGAGAGGCACTGATACTTGAGAACAACAGTTGAAAATGCAAGAGTATGCCATCATTGGAAAGGTGGATTCCACCGTTCGCATTTTCTATTCAAGTCTTCAGGAAAAATAAAAGTGTAAATAGATTACATTTTACACTTTGGTCCATCAGCTACAGCTTCAAATAATACACATTATATATAAATTATTATACTAAGCTATGCATAATAGCCAAGACTATGATACTAGTTTTTTCTACATTGTAGAAGGTTTAAGCTATTATAACAACATATAACCAAAACTACTTATTGAAGCGCCTCCAGCTATTGACAGCTTTCCAATAGTATTTTGTGACTTTACTTGTGAAAAGCTATCACTAAGTACAGCGTGAAGGCTAGATGACATGCTTCTATAGTTCCTCAGATGGCGAGGCCTTTTTGCATTTCTTAGTTCTCCCTGTTGCACAGTAGTCATTCTTCAGCTCGGTGTAGGAAAAGGGTTAAGGACTTTGAGGAGTTAAACTGACTTCTGTTCAAATCCCAACTCTTACCTTTTCTGTCAGTGTTACCTTGGATAAATCATTTAACCAATACTGATCTCTTTTAGTCCTTATAATAATCTTGTAACTATTATCCCAGGTGTAGAAAAGACTGACTTTTAGATAAAATAACTTGCCCAGAGTGAAGCGGGGTTTGAACCAAACTTCTTTGAATCCAAAATGTCTTTAACTTTTATCATTAAGGTAGTAGTGAGATATTAAGGGTATCCAGGCATTAAAAGATAGAATATATAGAAAGTAAAGGTCTTGGCTACAAATCGTTGTCACCATTTGTAAACTGTGTATTGTTGGGAAACATCTTGTAATCCTTCTGATTATTGATTTTCCTCATCTGAAAATGAAAAAGATGATACCTCATAAAGTTGTATATGTTTTTTCTAAGCCTTGCTTTTACTATCATTTAGCCTGGGGGCTGTGATACAATGAGGGATTAGCAGGAGGCAGAAATGAGAAGTTACAGTTAGAGTGGTAGTTGGAAAGGAAGAATGTTTTCTAAATAGTCCATGAGCTCCTTTTTGCCCCTGCTGCTAACATATTACCTGGCACATGGTAGACTGTCAAAAGAATGATGTATTAATATTGCATGATGGGGTCATATGTCGTCTGCTATACTCTATTTATAGATAAACTTAAAGTCAATTTGGACTCAGAACAAGCAGTGAAAGAAGAAAAAATAGTAGAGCAGCCTACAGTATCTGTCACTGAACCAAAGCTGGCAGCTCCTGCAGGCCTGAAAAAATCCAGCAAAAAAGCAGAGCCTGTTAAGGTGCTGCAGAAGGAAAAAAAAAGGTAGGAAAATGTTGTTGCTTGTTGGGGAAGAGTCTCTACTGGGGGTGAGAAGGTCTCTTTGGGCTTATTGACAGCAGGCAGTTTTCAGTTAAGTACTAAATCCCACTTAATGCCTTACCGATACAACTATACAACCAAAATGGAAAGAGAAGCCCACTAGCTTATCTAGTAGAGTAGAACTGTGGAATCAGCCAGTTTGGATGATTTAAGGACCAAAGTCATTTTTTTGGCCTTATTGATCTAAATTGATTGTTAGTTTTTGTTTTAAATTTGTGGACATGGCATAAGTGTGTCTAATTGTGTGTGTGTGTGTGTTTCACTTCAATTTGCCAAATGAAGGGTTACTGTTTCCAGTCAAATTTAAGAGAAAAAGTTCTTTGTTTTCTTTTTGTATCAATGAGTTTATTTTTCAAGTGGTAAAATGTAATTAGAAAAGAAAATAAAAAGCACATAAGCTATTAAAACTAGATCCAGGAATTGGAGACACTACCTCATAGTTGGTAGAATTAGTCTGTTGAAAGAAGTTCTAAAGGACACTGTCAAGACTGATAGGCCTAGAAAGACGACTTTTGTGGCAAGGTTGGGATTACTCTCGTTGAAAACATCAACAAAATGGTGAAATTTTAGAGGGTTAAAGCTCTGTCCAGTGGGCCTTACCTCCTAGGAACTTATGACTTGTATGGATAAAAATGTCCCCAACCATGGGTACATCACTCACTGTTGATGCTTATTGCCAGGAATGCATTCAGTATTTCACTACTAAATGTGATGTTAAATGTAGATTTTTAATAGATACCCTTAACCCAATTGAGGAAGTTGTTTTCTGTTCCAAGGTTGCTAAGAGGTTTTATCATGAGTGGTTATTGAATTTTGACAGATGCTTTTTTGAATTTATTGGATGCTCAGACGGTGTTTTTATTAATGTGGTGAATTAGGCCAACCTTGTGTTCTTGGGATAGACTCCACTTAGTTATGATATTATCCTTTTTTATATATTGCTGGATTAAATTTGTTAATATTACACTAAGCATTTGTTGCCTGTGTTTATGAGGGCTATAGGTCAGTTACTTTCTTTTCTGGTAATGTCTTTATCAAGTTGCTGTGTCAAAATTGTGCTAACTTCATAAGATTAGTCATGCACTGCATAACAATGTTTGGGTCAACAATGGGCCACATATATGACAGTGGTCCCATAAGATTATAATGGAGCTGAAAAATTCCTATTGCCTAGTGACATCATAGCTGTCATGACATGGTAGTACAATACTTTCCTCACGTGTTTGTGATGATGCTGGTATAAACATACCTACTGTGTTGCCAGTCATGTGAAAGTATAGCATATATATTAATAGTTATGTATACATAATACTTGATAATAAAAATGGCTATGCTACTATGATTACTGCACTATACTTTTTATCATTTTAGAGGACAGTAGTCTTTCTACTTATAAAAGAAGTTGACTGGGCCGGGCGCGGTGGCTCAAGCCTGTAATCCTAGCACTTTGGGAGGCCAAGACGGGCGGATCACGAGGTCAGGAGATCGAGACCATCCTGGCTAACACGGTGAAACCCCGTCTCTACTAAAAATACAAAAAATTAGCCGGGCGATGTGGCGGGCGCCTGTAGTCCCAGCTACACGGGAGGCTGAGGCAGGAGAATGGCGTAAACCCGGGAGGCGGAGCTTGCAGTGAGCTGAGATCCGGCCACCGCACTCCAGCCCGGGCGACAGAGCGAGACTCTGTCTCAACAAAAAAAAAAAAAAAAAAAAAAAAAAAAAAAGAAGTTGACTGTAAAATAGCCTCAGGCAGTCGTTAGGAGATACTCCAAAAGAAGGCATTGTTATCATTAGAGATGACAGCTTCATGTGTGTTACTGCCCCTGAAGAAGACCTTCCAGTGGGACAAGATGTAGAGGTGGAAGACAATGATCCTGACCCTGTGTAGGCCGAGGCTAATGTGTGTTTGGGTCTTAGCTTTCAACAAAAAAAGTTTAAAAAGTAAATACAAAATTTTTAAAGCAGAAAAAAGCCTATAGAATAGGGATATAAAGAAAATATTTTTGTACAGCTGTACAATTTTTTGTTTTAAGCTGTGTTATTACAAAAGAGCCAAAACGTTATAAAATTGAAAATAAAGTTACAGTAAGCTGTTTATTATTGAAGAAAGAAAAACATTTTAAAATAAATTTAGTGTTGCCTGAGTATCCAGTGTTGATAAAGTCTACAGTAGTGTACGGTAACATCCTATGACCTTCACATTCACTCACCACTCACTCACTGACTCAGCCAGAGCAACTTTCAGTGCTGAAAGCCCCATTCATGGCAAGTGCCCTAGACGTGTGTACCATTTTTAATCTTTTTTATACAGTATTTTTACTATCTTTTCTCTTTTTAGATGTTTAAATACACAAATACCGTTGTGTTACAGTTGCCTACTACAGTAACAATGATGTACAGGTTTGTAGCCTAGGAGCAGTAGACTAGACCATCTAGGTTTGTGTGAGTAGACTCTATGACGTTCACACAGTGAAATCACCTAACAATGCATTGCTCAAAATGTGTCCCTGTCATTAAGCGATCCATGACCGCAGTTGGGAGAAGTTTCCTCTGTTTTCTGAAGGAGTTTATATATACGTACATATTTTTCAAATGTTTAATAAAATTTACCAGTGAATCCAGGGCTGGATTTTATTTGTGGGAAAGGTTTTTGTTGTGAATTTGATTTAACTAGAGCTGTACAAATTCTCTAGTTCTTTTGGATCAGTTTTGACTGAGTTGTGCTTTTAAAACTCAAAGTTTGATCTAAATTGCTGAGTTTATTGGCATAAACCTGTTCGTTATATAACCTTATTCTTCGAGTTTGTAGAACCTGTACTCAATACAGATTTCTTCACTGTTTCATTCCTGATTGGTAATTTATATTTTTGTTTTCAAAATGGATTTTATAAAAAGCTTATTAATTTTATTAATCTCTTTCCCACAAGTAACAACGTTGGCTTTGTTAATTTTCTTTTTTTTAATCTCATTGATTTCTGTTCTTATCTTTATTATTTCCTTTTGCTTTGGGTTTAATTGTTCTTTTTCTAGTTCAAGGTAGAAAGGAAAGTTGGTATTTAAAGTTATATAAGACATAAGGTACTTGTTGGCAAAGATTATGTCTTGTATATATTTGTATCTCTAACATTCAGTAGGCCTTTGATAAATTAGTTGTTGGTTGCATGAGGAGTGTGATGGAGTATCCATTCATCCTGAGGAGCTAAATAATGTCACGGCGGAGTCTAGGTTTTTATTATTATTATTATTATGTCAATTGAATCACCTTAAAAGGATATCTCTGCCTTTGCTCATATTGTTCTTTCTCTTTAAAATATGTTTCCCCTTTCTACATGATGAACTTCTACTTAGCTTGTAAGTTTTCCAAATATGAATTATATTCCATAACATTTTATTTGTCCAGTTAAATCTACCACATTGCCTTATAGCCAGTGGTGCTTGCCAGAGCTTCTTGAAAACAGTATTTTCTTCTGTATCATTGTATTCTCAATGGCTAGCAAAGAGCCTTGTAGGTATGTAGTAGCTGCTTATTTAATGCTTGTTGGATAATTGAAAGTCCTATCAGGGAAGTAAGAAGGAATTTGGAGAGATTTTTGATAACCTGGTTGTAGCTTCCAGCAGTTTCTAGAAAACTCTAGAAATTTTTTATTCAAGTCACCTCATAAAGTGACCTAGTTAATGGTCAGTTAGCAGAGTATCCTTAACAAGAGTCCTTATTGGACTATTTGGCTGTCCTTTTCTACCCTCTGGAATTAAGACCACGAGTTATAAAGCAAAACCCATAAGAGCATGTGAATACTTAACATTTTTGTTATGTGTAACAAGCTTAATTTATTTCTGGATGACAACAGGGGGAAGCGAGTAGCGTTATCTGATGATGAGACAAAGGAAACTGAAAACATGAAGAAAAAAAGGAGAAGAATCAAACTTCCTGAATCTGATAGCAGTGAAGATGAAGGTGGGCATTACCAGTCATTTTTGGTTAGGGGGATCAATTTTACTTTTAATGTTCAAGGAGCTAAAAAAAGTAATGGATTAAGGATCACAATGAGAGTAGTAATTCTAGCATTGAGAGACACCATAGCACCTCTTTCTGTTTGAAATTTGCGTTAGCCTTTTGACTAGAACCATGATCTTTTGTCAATTTGTCAAAATAACACAGAGGGAAAGAGGATAAGAATTATTATTATGCACACTATCTAAGACGTTTTCTTTTCTTTTCTTTTCTTTTCTTTTCTTTTCTTTTCTTTTAAGGGGAGGATATTCCTTTGGCTACCTTCATGTGAATCTTTTAAGAATTGTGACATTCTAGGCAGCCAGGATATTATTGGTGGTGGTCCACACAGGTAAAGCTAGGGTTAACTGGAACAACCTGCAGTGTCATTATTGGAAGGGAATGACACTGTGGACCATTCTAGTTTTAGGCTGTGGGCCAGTGTAAGATAAGCAAACCTCATAAGGGCAAGAGTCTTACCAGGAACATTAATATGCTTTTTAAAAAATATCAAATATTTTGAAGAGCCAAGATCTTGCCCCAAATTGTATAAAGTATATAGAAAAAGAAGGAGGGTAAAAAGAAAGTTAAATGGGTTGAACTGATATACTAGTGCATGACTCTACTTTGAAAAGCCCACCTTGAGACACAGTGGTGAAAAGTTTGAACTGCTCTAATCAATTGTCCATGAATTCATGGCATAATGGGTATAAAACATTTTAGGTAATGAGGGGAAATCTAGTCTAAAGTATTTCAGCATCACATGAAGATATAGAGACAGACACAAACAGATACTAAAAGGGAGAGTAAAGAATAATAATGAATGCAAAAAAGGAACCTACTGTGCTATCAAAGGACAAAATGAAACTTGTAAGATTCTACTTTTTCTAGAAACTAAGAGGAATTGAAAATGCTAAGAGTGGCTTCTGGAAAAAGGATATTAGCTCAACTATACAAGTGAGTGAAAAAAAACAAATTATATATATGGATGACAGTAATGCAAAAAAATGAACAGACCCAAGAAATAGTAGCAGAAAGTTGAGTCTGTGATAGAGATGTAGCATCTTTTACACTTCTCTGGATTTAGATTCTACCATTCATGCTATGTGTTTAGAATTACAGCCGTTGATATGCTGTGAGAGGTACAATGTCCTTCTGTGGTTTTTAGTGGCCCTTCAGAATGGGTAGGATAAGACACATGAGCATCCCAGAGAGGCAAATGCTATATTTTCATTCCATTGTCATTTATCAAAATGCTTTGGCCAAGGCTGCAGAAAGGAACAACTCCATGTAGACACATGGGAAAATAATTAGGAAGTAAATGTAGGAATAGGTGCTAATTGGAACAGTCTTCCCTATTTCCAATCAGTAAAAGACCTTGGGAAGATTTTGGAAAGGTCTTTGAAGCCATCAACCTAATATACATTAAAAAGGTAAATTAGATACTCTAGTATTAGTGAAGGAGTCAGTTCTAAGTTAAGGAATTACTATGGTTGGTTGAGCACTCATTATATCATTCTGAAATATTCCTTGTAGTTCTGATCTGTAGCCTACAACAATAATACTGTTGGGTGATTAGAAATATAAGTGGGGTTATTTAGTTTTGAAAGGAATGTGAAGAAATGCGATAGAGATGCACAACCTATAATAACAGATGATATAGAGCAGAAGCTCTTAGATTTTTTTTCCTCTGGCAAAGATAATTTTTGGCATCTGACTAAATTTATAAACCTCTGCCATTTTATTCTTAAATTTCGTCTTTGTCTCAAAGCCAGTGGGATTTTATTTTAAACCCTTACACAGTCTCTAACTTATTATTGCTTTATTTCTGTTACACTGAGTATGTCATATAGTTCAATATGCTGTCTTCAGCCAGAAGTTAGAAAAGGAACAGCAGGAGAAGAGAAAATACAAGAACTTTGGAGTCAGGCAGACCTGGGTTTAAATTTTATCTTGACCATTTATTGTGTGACTTTAAGCAGGTTAGTTAACTTGTTTAATTCCTTGTTTTTCATCTCTAAAACGGGGATTTTTATCATAAATGATACAGGCTTTTTATGAACATGAAATAAGATGATGTGTCAGAAGTGCCAAGACAGTGCTTGGTACATGGTTTTCTTTTGTTTTGTCTTTTCTTTTCTTCTTTTTTTTTTTGAGACGGAGTCTCACTCTGTCGCCCAGGCTGGAGTGCAGTGGCGTGATCTCCGCTCATTGCAAGCTCTGCCTCCCGGGTTCAACCTGTTCTCTGCCTCAGCCTCCCGAGTAGCTGGGATTACAGGCGCCCACCACCACGCCCAGCTAATTTTTGTGTTTTTAGTAGAGATGGGGTGTCACCATATTGGCCATGCTGGTCTTGAACTCCTGACCCTGTGATCCACCCGCCTTGGCCTCCCAAAGTGCTGGGATTACAGGCGTGAGCCACTGCACCTGGCCTGTTTTTTCTTTTACCTGTGTCTGGAAACAAGTTCAGATAGTTTTCTTATTACTCACTCTGCTCTTCCTGCTGAGGTGCCCATACTTGCAAGTACCTTCAGTTTTTTCAGAAAATTCCCTTCCACTTCTGTTTGTAACTCTCTACCCAAGGGACTGTGCCTTTCTCTTTTACCCCTGCGGGGTCATATGCACCTTTAGTAGTTCTACATACTCTCTTTGTAAAGCAAAATCAAAAGGCCAGACCCAGAAAGAAATAACATTAAGAATAACATCTACATTGCTAAGAAGAAATGTAGTTTTAACTGATAAATATTTAAGTCTTCGCTAATATTTTCAGTCCTTGCAAGGTGCTTATGGAGAATGTTAAGCAAATGATCCCCAATTTTAGGTAAAGATAGGTATTTTTAAAAAATACTGAGTCCTAGGAAGCTGTGAATGGTTTCCAAGAATTCTAATTACCTGTCTCTGCCAGAGAACTCTTTGACACAGTGGATCTCTGAAATTAGTTTCATTGCAGTTTTTACTCTGTCCCAACAAAGGTTGCTTTCCTGGAATAAGTGATACTTCATTGCTTAACTTTCACTTGAAGAGCTGCAGATTGGCTACAAATCTGTTTAAAATACACCAGTGCATGGAACATTCTTTATGTCTGTGTCAGTAAAAATGTATTGAGTGGGGATGTTTGGCTTGGTAAAGACTAAGGCAGACAGACATATATTCTAGTACATGAATGGCGGCAAGTTTAAACAAAGTAGTAGATATTTACAATTTTAAAAGTCAGATAAAAATAGAAGTTTTATAATAGATAATAATCTCTACTCTCTGACTCATCTGATTTGACTGATGCCCCTTTTGTCAACTTTCTCCCATCTGCCTTCCATCTTCCAGGGATTTGTTGAAATTTCTTAATCATTAAGGGCTCTTGACTCCTCTACTATTCTCTTCCCTGTTTGGGGGAGTCATAATGTTTTACTTGTTTATTATCACAGTGTTTCTCTCAGGGAGTGTGTGGAAGGAAGAGAGAGAGATATGTTGTCTTACTTGACCTGGGTTCCTCATTCCAAATTTAGTTCAGAAAGTGGTGGTTTTCCTTTATGTAAATAAATACACACACACATACACACACACACACACACAGTTACTCTGTGTTTATGCCAGGGAAATCGTGGTGTCTCTGCCTTTTTGGAGCTTAGAGTCTAGAGTGGGGATCTAGATAAACATTTGCATACAGTGCTGTGAGAGGGGTCTTAGAGGGTGTCACTAGGATTGTTTTCTTTGGTTAAGTCAACTGGTTTCAGAACTGGAAATAAGAATGCCTAAGTTTATTACTGTGAGTCTCAAAATTCCTTTGGCTTCCTCATTGCCTAAACTTTCCTCCTCCCATTATAACACATCTACCATTATAGCCCAGCTTTCTTCATAGCTGTTCCTTCAGAACAATGGAGGCTTACTTCTGGTGTTTGACTTTTCTCTTGCCTGAGTTCCCATCATGTTCTAGCCTCCCAGAGCTGGGCTGATAGCTGGACTGCTTTCCTTTTGTGTTTCTCTCTCTTGTTTCCCAGAGCTTATAAAGTTTTTGGGGCCCATTTTATACTTAAAGTGTGTAATTTATTGTTCATTCTGGCTCTTGTTCTGTTTCACCTCTTTAGGTCATTTGGCCTTGAACTCGCTTCACTGTCATAATTTTTAACACTGACCTAATCAGTTGGGAGAATTTCAGATCCAAGACTTGTGTTAAGAATTTGAATACAGCCAGGAGAGTCAGGGAGCAGGTGAGGCTAAGTTGCTACCCAGCACTTTCTTTGTGGTGATTGAGTAATAGGTCAGTTGAGGATTTTTGCTTCCCCTCTCATGGGCCGTTTACTAAGACCACCAATTCTGCAATTGTTAAGAAATCATGGGATCCCTCTGGTGGTGCTCATTTCTTGGGTGATGCCACTTCCACAGCAGTATTTTTTTCCTAAAAGTATGCTTTCCTGTTAACTTCAGTGTAGCAGAACAAGCCCTATCAGTGGAGCAGTCACTAGAAATATGCAAAATATTAATCAGGTCCTAGTTGTTAGAGCTTAAATAATGATAATCATTTAAAAGATGACTTCACCCACCTCCAAGTTTATACTCTTAACATCAGCTGGAGATTTTCAGTCTAACAAACATCTCAAGTGATGAAAATCCTTAGGTCACAGTGGAAGACTCTGGCATAGAACGTTCGTTATAACCTGAGGATTGTCTCCACATGGATTTTGAGAGAGAATGTCTTGTCCTCAATGGTAAAGCGGCATGATATAGTTGGAATAGCAAGGCTGTAGAATTGGATTGACTTAGGCTTAAAACCTCCTGTCTCCGTTGTAAGCTGTGTGACCTTGGCAAGTTTCGGAACCCCTCTGAACCTCTATTTACTGTAATGTGCAAATAAGAAAATCTGTCTCAGAGTTGTAAAAATAAAGTGAAATACATGGCATATGGAAGGCGATGAGTGGATATTTACAAACCAACTTCATAACCTGACTTAGCTATAAAAGAAAACATTTAGCTAAGATACTTCTGGCTGTAATAGTTCTTGATTCTCTGATTTTATTTATATAAAATTAATAAAATATATATTTTAAAGATAACTATATAACTGCAAAGTTCTTGGTTATCATGAATTACTGCTTGCTAAATCCCCTTTGCTGGACATGTCAATTTAGAGAACCAGTGGAGAAGGCATTATACCAGATAGTGCTTGTAGTTCTCTGATCTAAGTCTGTTTCATTATTTCAGTCTTCCCAGACTCTCCTGGGGCTTATGAAGCTGAGTCACCACCCCCACCTCCTCCTCCGTCTCCACCTCTTGAACCAGTGCCAAAGACTGAGCCTGAACCTCCTTCTGTCAAGGTAAAATTATACTGGGATTCTTACATATCCATGTATCCTTTATGTCTTAAGGACCTACAACCACTTTGCTAAATCAGTTCCCTTGCTGTATACTTCACAAATGCCAGTAGATGGCTGTTGTCTCATTCTGCTCTCCTACAGATTGTACAGAATGGGTGTTCCTCCATTCTCACCTGAAGGGAGATTTCGCTAGCGGGTATAGTCTCAAGAACGTTGCAGAGGTGGAACCTGGGAGCTGTTCTGTATTCATGACCTTCAGCATCTCTGCTGTGCTGTACACCTCCTGTTAGAGTGGTGCAAAAAGAGATCCCCCTGCATCAGAGCAACATGTGAAAGACAGGGGAACAAACAACTTAAACACATTTGCTGCCCTTCAGAAGCAATTCTGGAAAAGGGCTGGATGGGAAAACTGTCAGCCAAAGGGGAAATACAGCTTGGAACGCTCTTCAGCTGCATCTTTTTTACATCTATTAGTGTAGATAATGAAGAGTTGAAAAAATAGTTGCTGACAATTTTTTTTTTCCTTTGTGGCTGTTAGTTTTTCTTAATTCATTGTGCATCATTTAAATCTTACGCCGATTTCCTCATTAGCTGAAGAGAAAATGAGATGAAAGAGACCAGTGGAGATAAAAGGAAGTTGGTATTAGTAATACCTATTTGAGACTAAATTAGATAGGTGTAATGTTGAAGTGTCAAGGCTGGCCAGGCATGTTGGCTCACACCTGTAATCCTAGCACTTTGGAAGGCTTAGGTGGGCAGAACGCCTGAGTCCAGGAGTTTGAGACCTGGGCAACACAGGGAGACCTTGTCTCTACTTTAAAAATATCTGGGCATGGTGGCACATGCTTTTTAGTTTCAGCTACTTGGGAGGCTGAGGCGGGATGATCATTTGAGCCCAGGAGTTGGACTACTGCCATGAGTTATGATTGCACTTCTGCACTACAGCCTGGGCAACAGAGCAAAACCTTGCCTCTCAAAAACAAACCAAAAAAAAAAGAAAACAAGAAATGTGAAGGCTGACATAGCAAGTATCTACAGCAAGGGCATATGCCACAGAAACCCCTGGTGTGGTTTAGGGGCCATCCCTGTGTGCTCCCATAATATCTGCCTCAGCCCTCCATTGAAGCCTTCACCACATCGTATTGCAGTGGTCTGCTTTCCTTATCTGTCTCCTCCACTAAGGTCCTTATGCTACTTTTTAACCGTGTCGCCTGCACTACTCAGCAAAAGCTTATTGACCGAATGAACAGAACACAGTTCTTTCTTCAGCATGCTACTTTCCTTCTTATGAACAATGAAATATCAAGCCTGTGTATATAGTGAGCGTAACTTGTCTATGTGATGGGGTTGGTTCTCTAAAACTAATGTAGAGTTTCTCTTTCAACTTTTTATCATAATGGAGTACTGGAGAATGATTATTATAGATTTAAAAGCTTTTGTTATTTTTCTGTATAACATAATTGATCAGCTTAACATTGTATCCTCTGATCTTTTAGAGCTCAAGTGGAGAAAACAAAAGAAAACGAAAACGCGTACTAAAATCTAAAACTTACGTGGATGAGGAAGGCTGCATAGGTAAGGCAAATATTTGGCTCCAAATCCGGAGAGAGTCTCTTATTACCGTAGAGGCACCATAATCTCTTTTAGAACAGGTACATCTCAAACTTTAATTTACATATGAATCATCCCCAAGTGCTACTGATGCTGTTTGTCTATGGCATACACTTTGTGTAGCAGAGTGTAAGTCAGAACACCTAGGTTCTTGTTTAAGTCATACACTATAAAAATAAGCACTGAGATGTTGGCTAAAAGTTATGTTGTCTCTGGTGAAGAGTTTCTTATCTGTGGAATATCCATTTTGCCTAAATGTGTGGTTGTTATGAAGATTCAGGTGGCATAAATATGTCTAAAAACAAGATGGAAACCACAGTATGGGCTTAAGATGTTATCATAGACATTGAGAAGCATTTTTTTTCCCTAGAATGTTTGTTTTTATAAATCTGAACAGTGGAAAAGAAGCTACAGATGATTAGACTGTATCAGGAGTCATTTTTGGTATTTGGTTCCATTTGTTCTTCAGAAGGGAATGACTCATCCAGATTACTTCCTTTATGTTTCCTATTTGTAAGCCATGTTAGGTAAAAGCATGTGCTTGTTACGAAGGCCTAGGGAGGAATTAGAGTTCAGGCTTTGAGTCATTGGCTGGTTCTTCAGCCATGTTTTAGCTACTTCTGCCCTTTCCATAATCAAACCAGACTTCTGTGGAGCTTTTAAGATTTAGCACTTGAGGTTTGATGGGATGCTCATATCCTGGTACTGTATTTTTGTGTTTGAAAAGAGTTGTGGGTTTAGGCTTTTACCTTTGTTAGTTGGATAGCCCATGGTTGTCATTTTGCCTTTTGTGGCACCTGCCACAGGTTGGATCTTCAGAGAAGGTTATTTTTTCCTGTTCTTGATTTTTTTTTTTTCTTCTAGTTCAAACTTGTTTTTAAAAGATTGGCTCTGAAGAATCAACCTTTCCTGGTTCTTAAAACTAGTGAGGACATTTTGTTATCTGTGTTACCTGTCCCACTGTTCCCAACCTCCCAGTCCTCTGAAAAGGCCTCTGCCATTTTAATTGTAGCATGCGACTGGGGAGTAAAATTCTTTACATGTGGAAATTCTGTCTTTTCAGTGCCAAATTTCTTATGAACCTGTGAATTCTGGACTTTGAATGGGTTTTTTTTTCTTTCTTTCTTTCTTTTTTTCTTTTTTTTTTTGGCTTTCAGTCTTTTAATAGTTGCCATTTTCAAGCCTCTTGGTTTGGCCGTGGGTGATAATATATGTATTTACTATTGACTTTCTTAATTCAACAGTATATTTTTTAAATTTAGGAGGACAAAAGCATTGGTGCCAGTTTTTTCCTCCTCTTTCTGCCCCAAAGAAAAAAGTCAAATGTCGTTGTGAGAGTTCATTGGGAATTTGTGAGTAATTATTTATTGCTTTGTTTAAAACATAGTGCTCGAGTTTTGGCCAGGTGTGTGATGTGGACTTTTTTGCACTCCTGTCTCCAGACAGAACTGTTAAGAGCCTTGGATGCAACAGTGAAAACTGTGCTCACATTGCACCTTTTTTTTTTTTTTTTTTTTTTAAAGGTTTTTGGTCCAAGCTCAACCTAATGAATCTTGGCTTTGGTTACCAACAAAGGAGTTCTGCTTTCCTCTCTCTGCTCAGACTGTTCCAAATGTACCAGCATAGGGGGTTTGCCCTGTTCCGTGCTGAATCAAATTTGTTCTGTGGGTTTAGAAAACTCATCTTTCCCTCTTTGCGAGTTTGCAGCAGAAACTGGGGAGTTGGGTCCCTGAGATAAGTTTGGAGTAGACTCCTGGACAAGGGGATGGGTTTCTAAGAGCAAAGCAGTTAAGTGGAAAAGAAATCTGATGTTACCCACAAAAACCAGGTTTGTTTGCTTTTTTTAATGGCAACCCAGAAAAGTGGCATGTTGTTCAGCTAAAACAAAGGCCCCATATTTTTAATGGAGGTGTCCTTTTTCCTGGGGTTTGAGGTAGCTACAGCTTTGAATATAGAAATATTCCTTTTAGCTCTTACAGTATACTGAATATGCTGCTAAAGAAATTTTATTGGTGCTGCCCTGTTTTTTAACTCCCCCAAGCAATGTGTTATACAAAATTGGCAATGAGACAGCCATTGGTTTCATTAATAAGTAATGAAATAATGAGCTAATTGATGCTGAAGTGTAATGTTGTAGATACGCTGCCATTTGAATACAGAATATAGCTTATGAAGGAGCAAAGTCTTATACCACCAACTAGTAGAAAGTCATTTCCTTTCTGTATCTGTAGGTGGCTCTTCAGACTTTTCTAATTTAAGATATTGAATAAATAACAGCTCGTAATTTTGTCCCATTAATTCAGTTACATAATGCTTTTGAAGATGCATGTGAGACGGAGGTGGTGTTCTGGGGTCTAATTGCTGAACGAATAGGTATGCCGTGGGAATTCTCTAATTATCTTAGAGCAACATTTCTCAAACTTCGCCGACTATGTGCATTACTTGGAGATCTTGCTAAAATTGGAAATTCTGCATCAGTAGGCCAGGAGTGGGAACTAGAGTACATTCCTAATAAGCTCATGGGGGATTCCGTTGCCTCTGGTGTATGGAGCACAATTTGAGTAGTAAGGCCTTTCAGAATACTTAGTATAATACTATCTAAAGTTTATTAGTATTGTTTAGCCTCTAAGTGAAAATCAAAGTGAATTCTTGGCTCTTACAAAATTAAAGACAAACTCTGGGAACTCTCTGGGAAGGGATTGTTGATTATGCAGCCTTAATGGGATTAGCTGGATAAGAGAGAAGGAGTGCTCCAGTGGCAATTGCACTTCAACATTTAAAACAGGGAAGGAAAGAACATTAATTCCCAGAGTGTGGTCCCCAGACCGGCAGCATCAGCATTTTCTGGGAGGATGTTAGAGAAGCAAATTCTCAGTTCCACCCCAGATCTGCTGAATCTGAAACTTGGGAAACAAGAGTCTGGCAATCTATGTTTTAACCAGCCCTCCAGGTGGTTCTGATGCATAGTAAAGTTTGAGATGATATCTTAAGTAGCAGAGTAGGTATTAGGACACAGAATCATTTGATTCCAAAGCTTATGCCTCTAGAACAATTTGATATATTTTATTAGAAAGAATTATCAATAAGAGCTTGAGACTGTCATTGTTCTTTAATGGAAAAAAAAAAACTTTAATCATTTGAGCATTTAATATGCATATTAGGTTACACTTTTCAGCTAAGAACGAGCTCTTTTCCTTCAATGTTTCTCTATCACTTGCTGCAACCAGGAAGGCTGAGAAAGAATTTAGATAGTATTGGTTATGCAGCTGCCACAGCTCTCTCAAATTACAGAAAGGTGGCGTGCTGTTTCTTGTGGTTGGTGTATGTGTTGCAGTAGTGTGGATCCTCCTCGGTTATGTGACATGGCTGGAAGCCACTATCTCTGCCTGTGCCCTTTGGGGCTTGCTCATAATGGACTGCTTACTGGTATAGTTCTTTTCCAAGTTTCCCTTGGGAAAGGTTCAGTGAGTTTTAATAGCAGGGGAAAGGCAATTTATGCCTTTGGCTGATAGAGAGTAAGAAAACTGGTAACTTTGTTTCTCATTTTATCACTGTCATTGCTTAAAACTAACAAGTGTGTCATCTGATAGCATTTGCTTGAGATAGTTAACTTTCGTGATATAGACTACTACTAAATCTTGGGTTAATTTGCAGCCATTAAGAACTAAGAACCGAATAGTTGAGTAACTAATCTTCAATTCTCTGTACCTAGGATGTGCAGAGAGTGGGTGGCATCAGGATAGAGCTAGACAGGAGGGTCCACGGTGAGCTTGGCTAGACAGAATGGAGGCAGGCAGATAGGCCAGCGGTTTAAGACCATTAACGGGAATAGGCAGGCATTGTAGGTCAGAGAGATGAGACTTAAGAAGCCAGTCAAAGCATGGAGTTAGAAGTAAGTGTTTGAGATATAGACAATTCAGGTATAGAATTCAGGAAGTTAGCTAACATAGGCCAGGACCCAAATAAAGGATTTAGGCAATTCACTGATAAAGGGCCATTTAAAGGCATGGGATATAGCAGTGAGAGAGAAAAGTGAATGTTAATTCTAAGCATCAAATAGAGGCAGTGTGAGCTCAGGATTCCACGTACTTGCTACCTTAGGCTAGATCTGATCTCCCAGTGGGAGAAAGATTCAGTCCTAAGTAAGCATATTTGCCTTGATCAGAGAGTCTGAAATGATTGGGGTTAGCAAGACATCCCATTTTCTTGATAGAGTAAATGATTCAACCCACCCATGTTCCATTTTTTTCTCATCCTACCAGTGACTGAAAAAGTCTACGAGAGTGAATCCTGCACAGATAGTGAAGAGGAGCTTAAGATGAAGACATCCTCAGTACACAGACCCCCTGCCATGACTGTGAAAAAAGAACCCAAAGAGGAACGAAAGGGCCTCAAGAAAGGGACTGCTGCTCTGGGCAAAGCCAACAGACAGGTGTCCATTACTGGCTTCTTCCAGAGGAAATAAACTGCCATCTCTGGTAGATCAGAGACTTGAAGTGGTCAAGGGAGAAGACCAAGAAATGTGCTCCTCACTTACTATGTAAGTTCATCTAGATCTCCACCTCACTTGTATCAAAAGACTGTTCTTTCATCCTGTGAGGTTTATACTATTTCTGGTTTTTAACCAAAAGGAAATCATCTGGAAGCAGGAGACAAAAAGCTGTTACCTTCTAATGACATTTAAAAAGCACAATCTTTGACCTGTCCAGGAGAAGGATTTACTCCAAAATTATACTGGAACAGTTTTCAGAATTCTCACTGAAGCCGTTTAGTGGCTAATCCACTGTTCCCCACTCGCCTTATGCCCTGGTCCGCATATGGCACAGGAATTATTCCTTCTTGTTCCTCTGTATTCTGAGAATTCATGTGGGTGTTTCTTATCCTTACATTCTGCTGGATGTGTTTACCCCTCTTGTCTTCCTCCAGTACCACACTTCTGTCCCCTAACCTCCTGAGGCTGTTCTCTGTAAGTCTTTTAAGTCTTGGTTGGACTAAAGGCTGAAGTGAAAATCTCCCTGTAATCCTCTTCCTCCATTATGCAGTATATGGACACCTGGCCACAGACCAGGACATGGCTTGTGTTCTGTTCCTTTCACAAAAGCTCTCTGGGACCTTCACTCTCAATTAGTGGTTAGGGAAAAGCCTCAGGCAGAACACAAATAGAAATTTAATGATGTGTTCAACTCCACCAGAAATTACCTCGAGTCAGCATTGACGATATTGGAGGAGCTGCCGTGCTGCTGACACGGGGTGTGCTTTATGCTGCTTTTTTTGGTTTGTTGATCCCTCTCCCCCACTCTCAGTACCTAGAGAGTGAAACCTGTACAATGAGATAAAGACTAAAAAGAGAAATCCCTTCCTATATACAGTGTACTACATTTACATAAAATTTCTTCTTTTTAAGAAAACAGAATATTCAAAAACAGCACTTTTCCAGGAAGTTAGTGAGGAAGATAAGGCACACATTTATACATGGATGTTGCTCCTTTGTATTTGTAGCTCCCCTATTTGCTTAAAAGTAGAGGCTCCCCAAGAGAGGATGGAGAGGGAGAGACTGAACTGTTAGTAGTCTAAACAGCAAAGAAAACATTTTTATTAGTTACTTATGGAAAATCGTCTATTACAATGATAACCTTCAAGCGACTTCCATTATGGCTGGACAGGCGGTGAGCTCAGTGGATTGCAGTGGTGTGCTGGTGATTTTGCAGTGAGCTCTGTGGAAGGGGTCACACTCAGCTGCTGATGTGTCTCACACGTAGCAGACAAGAGGTGTCTGACCGGCTTCTTCCGCCTCAGGCTGGTGTGTGTCGTAAGTGATGCAATCAGCTGTCTCCTCTTTAAGGTTGGGATTGTGCTGACCTTGGGATTAACATGAGCTTCTTTAGCAACCAAGCATGAACTTGATTAAGACCAGAAGTGTGGGAGATGAGTCCTGGCATTATGTCTAGGGCTAAAGCAGTGGCTTTGTATAGCAAGCTGTATAGCAAGGTTGACATACTCCAAAACCCTTTCTTTTTAAAATGAAAAAGGATGGAGAGAAGGATGGAAAGCCTGGACTTAAACCATTAGAAAAAACTTCTGGAGAGAAATCCCTTTTAAACAGTTATTTTTGTCATTGCCTCTGGTCATTTGTCTAAGTAGGAATGGAAAATTAAAAGCAACAATCCAATCTTTTTTCTAAAAATTATGCTGGGGTCTCGACTAAAACAATTTGAATTGGAAAATTCTGGTGCTGGTTGGAGTTCCAACTTTCAAGGGATAATACGAATCCTATGATCTCTATGCCCAATATGCTGCCTCAACTTGAGCTGCTGCAAGGCTTAGTAAGTATTGAGTGGTGAGGGTTTTTTTTTCTTTTTACATAATACCATGTTAACCACATGAGTTCAATAAATTTGAGAAGTTTTAAGACAGTGCTTCAAACTGAGTATCTGATGAGTCTTATTTGACGGATGGTAACAGTGTTGCAATTATTTAAACTCTGAATGGGAAGAAGGCTGGTTTTCAGTTGATACTGTTAAAACTGCATACCTATAGTCTGAGATGAACAAGTTATTTTCTGCCTTCATCATTTTTTCAGCCCTGGGGAAATCTTAGTTTCAGCAAACCTCATTGTTTAGTTCATCTATAAGAAAATTTAGCACATTGTATTAGTTTGGCTTCATCACTTGCTAGCCGTATGACCTTGGGCAAGTTTCACAGCCTCAAGGTCTTTATCAAAATAAATGAATTACCAAGGGTTGTCAAGACTAAAGTCAAGTGTATGTAGCATGAATTTGGTACATGATGGTAGTCACATATGCACTCTACAAATGGTGGCTTCCTTTCTGATGTCGTAAGTGATGTAATCAGCTAGCAACTTACTGAAATGTTATCAGTTATACGGCCCAGGTGGTGTATTCTTCAGTCATTCTGGCTGTACATGTGGTAAAAAGGGGAAGATAGTTGTCCTATTTCATGAAAGGTTTAAAGAGAGTAGATATTTTCCTATTGAAGGAATTACAGATGGCTATATTTACTGTTCATTTATTGTATATCTATTATGTGTCAAGCCCATGACCTGGGGACTAGAGGATATAATAGAAACAGTAGAATTTGGCACTTGATCCTCACAATGTAGTGGAAGGGAAAGCCAGTAAAATGAAATGACAATGCCATATGTGAGTCCAATGTACAGGTCCTCCAAGAATTCCTAGGAGGATAGGTATCAAGGCAGTCTTCCTGGAGGAGAGGAAAGCAAGCAGTTCTTTGAATGATGAGCAGGATTTCACCAGGCAAAGAGGAATGGAAACTATTTTCTAGGCAGAGGAGCATGGGTTTTGGGAGAGGTGGCCGGTAGAACTTGAGAATAGGGAGGAAAGTGTATTCAGAAATGAAGTTGGGGTCTTGCTGAGCAGTTTGGATTTGATTTGTAGATAATGGGGACCAACTGAAGAAATTTAAGAAGAGTGACAGAAGTTGGTTCTCAGTTAAGAGTGACAGCCAATATTTACTTTGATTTTGTATCCATGATAGTATTTCTACCCTTGCATATGCACGTTGTGTCTTAAAATTCTAGTGGATTAAAGAAAACTATCTTGGTTAAAACAAGGCTGCTTAATTCTGGCAGTCAGCGTAGACAATTGCAGTGTTTCCCTTGTCTTCCCCTGTCAATGTAGATTTTTGTAGCAGAATCAGTTTTTTAAAGTGATTTCAAAAGCTGGTGTTTCTTCTTTGACACTCTCAGTGATGAGCCTCCACTCACCTCCCTGGAAAAAACTGGGAATTTGGGGGCAGAGGGGCTGGTAAACGAGTGAAACAGTTGTCTTATTCCTTTTCTATCTTTGTTTCTTTAAGAAGACATTAGTTATTATACAGGAGAGAGCTGAAGAGAAGGGCCATATAAGGAAAGTAAATAGTTTCTCCAGGACATGAGTAGAATGAGTGCCTAATAATGTATTTGCCAGAAACGTACTCTGTGTCAAGACTCGTTTTGGTAAACTTGTCTCCTTTCATTGGTTCCAGGATCTCAGTATGCTGTAATGCAGCTTTTACCACCATGAAACATTCTGGGACTGCCTCATTTTGCTGTGAGAAGGCAGTATTGCTTTCTGAGTTATTGCCCTGGCAGCTCTGTAAATTAGCCCATGCTGTCACCATGCCCTCTCTGAAGGGCACATTGTACCCAAATGACTGCATTTAGGATTGACTCTTACCACTCCCTGCTGCATGACACTTCTCTCCACTTGTATCTGTGTCCAGTTTTTTGTGTTCTTAAGTGCAGACCACCCACAGATTGCCACCCAGGCTCTTTAGCCAGAGAAACTTGGTAAGGCTTCTGATCCAATATTTTTCCATTGGATCAGAATCCACCTTAACTCTACAATTCCCCTTCTACTTCAAACCCTTAATGTTTTCTGAACACCCACTCCCCTTAATTTTTCTCATTTTCTCTTTCCAGATTCCATGTTTCTTGAGGTTTCACCTTGGCTCCCCGTACCTTCATTTTTAATAATCAAAGCTCTTCATGGCTAGTTCTTCAGCTTCATTCTTTTGGTGTTTTAGGCTTTCTCAAGGCTTTTCATGGCATGTCTTTTACCAGACTGCTCTTGAAGAATGGAAAAACTACTTTGTTTAGTGTCTGTTTGTGATCAGTCAGATCCAAAGCATAAAGCAGTTATTGGAAGCTAGTTATGTTTAGTCCTGGATAAAATATTTCGGGGATTGTAAGAGCCCAGAAGTTACCATTTTGGAGTGACAAGACAAACATACTAAACAGCATTTAGCATTTGAGACAATGCTTAGATGAGTGATAGACATGGGACTTAATAATTTAGGAACAAATTAAGATAATCATTATGGGCAAAATGTTATATTCCTATGCAAAGAACAATAAAAGATTTAAAGAAACAGGCTGAGGTAGGCTCACCATTTTACTGGGTGTTATTCAACTATTTGAACTTCAGTTGCCATTTATGTATTCATGGTGTAAGTAAACCATGATTTAGTGAATCTTTTAATTAATGGAGTTATTTCTGTTGTGCTTTAAGCATGAGAGTATTGACGAGAAAGCAAGCAGTTACCAGGAATTACTTCAAAGGGCAGTTTATACAATATAAAGTCTGTATAGGCTCCACTCAGTTTTGTACACACTCAACAATTTTGACCTACTAGGGAGGCCGGATGCCATGATGGAAACAACACAGACTTGGAGACAGAGGCTGCTGGATGCAAACCCTGTCTGAGGCGCTGACCTTAAGCAAAGTATGCATCCTCTCTGAACTTGTTTCCTCATCTTTCAAAATGAGCTGCCCACCTACCTTAAAGGGTTGTTTTAGGGCATTAATGAAATAATGCATGGGCAGTCGCTAGTATTTTGACACATACTAAACTAATACAAAGCAGAGTAACTCACATTTACCTCTTTTAATCCTCAGCCCTGTGAGATAGGTAGTTTTATTCCCATTTTGCACATGAGAAAATGGCGGCAAAGAGGTTAAGTAACCTGCCCAAGGTCAGAGCCACGATATAAATCATGACAATTTGGCTTCATTGCCCTCCGTCTTAACCGCTGTGCTATATCGCCTCTTGGCTATATATTAGTTCACACTTCCATACCGCCAAGTGACGATTGATGGGTTTTTTGGTTTTTTATTTGTTTTTTAAGACAGAGTCTCACTCTGTCACCCAGGCTGGAATGCAGTGGCACAATGTCGGCTCACTGCAATGTCCTCTTCCCAGCTTCAAGTGATTCTCTGCAACCTCTGCTTCCCAGGTTCAAGCGATTCTCCTGCCTCAGCCTCCCCAGTAGCTGGGACTACAGGCGCATGCCACCACACCTGGCTAATTTTTGTATTTTTAGTAGAGATGGGGTTTCACCATGTTGGCCAGGCTTGTCTCGAACTCCTGACCCCAGCTGATCTGCCTGCCTCGGCCTCCTGATGTTCATTTTTATAAGTGAAAGTGCAGCTGGTTGTTCAGATCCCAGATTGTCAAATTTGAAGGCAATCTTAATGCTTATCTAAATCAACCTCTTATCTGAAGTCTGCATCTTCTCTACAGCATCCCTGCCAAGTGGTCTTGAATCTATAAACAAAGATTCAATTATGTTCAGTATACCATACTTAACTAAATTACAAAGTTAGATAAGTAGGCTAATAAATGTTAAGAAGAATTTAAAGAAAGGCTGGACTAAAATTAAGTTTTCCAATTACTTTTAGATCACCAGGAAACTTCCAAATAGAGCATACTGCCATAAGCAGTCCATTTAATTGGTTTCAGTTTAAGTTGAGAACATTGTTTTCCTTGAAACAGTTTGTCTGATTCTTGGCCTTGCCTCTGACTTAATATTTGTAAGAAAATCAAGAGGACATTTGGCATTTGTGCCCTGTTTAAGCCATGCTGCAGGTTCATAGGTTGAAAGTGGTCCTGGGGTGCTTGCAAGTGAGTTAGGTCAGGGTGGTGTTCTCCATTTTGAATGTCAAAACCTTGTTTTCCTAGGATACTTGGTTTCAAGCTTATCTGGTATGTGAAGATTATATAAACATAGCATAATGATGGTACAGTGCAGTGGTCCCCAACCTGTTTGGCACCAGGGACTAGTTTCATGGAAGACGATTTTTCCATGGCCGGATAGCGGAGATGGTTTTGGGATGAAACTGTTCCACCTCAGATGATCAGGCATTAGTTTGATTCGCATACGGAGCACACAACCTAGATCCTTGCATGTGCAGTTCACACTAGGGTTTGCGCTCCTGTGAGCATCTAATGCTGCAGTTGATCTGACAGGAGGCAGACCTCAGGCAGTAATGCTCTTTGCCCACCTGCTGCTCACCTCCTGCTGTGCAGCTAGGTTTCTAGCAGGCCACGGACCAGTACCAGTCCACAGCTGGGGGTTGGGGACCCCTGGTGTACTTTTTAAAGTTCTGTCCTGGAATGGGATATACAGAAGGCAGAACCATTTTCCTGCAAACCATAAAACCTGATTGGAGTGTTTTCCCTTGTCCCTCTTAGTTGTATTCTATATGTATTTGTATGGTGCTTTACTGTGTCTTACTTCATCCTTATGATAACCTGCAAGGTCTTTCTCTCCCACATTTTGCAGAAAACAAGCCCAGGGAGTTGAGCTAGTATGGCCAGCATCATACAGTGAGAAAGTGAACCAGGGCTGGAACCTAGGTCTTGAGACTTTGCGTCTTCAGACTCTGCATCATGTGACTTTCCCGCAGTATAGCAACCCCTAAGAAGAATATATGGGTCCACTTATAAATGTGGCTTGAGTCATTCAATGCTTACTTATTTGACCAACAACTATGGTGGCTACTGTGGATTCAAGAAAAGTATGTGACAAGTTCTCTGACTTCCTGGGACTGACCATCTGTTGGGAAGGCAAAAAAACATGTACATATTTGTACATTTCGCAGTTTTGACTGAAAGTTTACTATGTACTCAGCACTGGTGCATTAAATACTGGGGATACAAAGATGAATTTCTTGCCCTTGATACATTTACTATCTGGTGAGGAGAGAGACAGACAAATATGCTATCATTATATTATAATAATATTTATAAGAGTGCTTACCATGGGCCCAAATTTTTGGAGATATTTAATACACTTTCTCTAATCCTCACAATACTTTATTTACACATGAAGACAGGAAGGCTCAGAGAGTTTAAATGATTTGCCTAATAAGTGGCAAAGGTGAGACATGTCTCTGTTTAATAATTTATAATGAAAAGTTAGAGAAACTAGTATATTTGAACGCTTGTGATTAGCAAACCTGCATGGAAGTCAACTTCCCTTCGGGTGGATCAAAAGGAGCAAAATGAATTAGACCTTTACAATTGTCATTCTCAGGTAGGTGTGATCTTGCCAGTGAGTCTGAGTCTTTTGGCTACGATCTTCAGCTCGTATCTCCACATAAGTAAACACACACCAGTGGACTATATGTTAGGCTAGAGATGAAGGCTTTCTCCCCTCTGGTTGGTGTTCTAGCTGGCCTGGGGAGAGGGCCACAGTTTGAACTCTAGTCCTTCTGACTTGAAGTCTATATTCTGACTACCGTACCATGTCCTTCCGCCTGTATAAAGGAGGTGTGTGTTCATAGGTCAGTGTGGACCCAAGAAAGGGTTGCCTATGACTGCCTGAGGGATTAAGGGAAGATTCACAGAGGGGGAGGTGCTTAAAAAGGTCTTGAGAAAAATAGGAGTTTGCCAGATGGAAAGTGAGAAGGGCATTCCAGGCAGAAGGAACAGGACATACAAAGGCATGGACACACGAGAAAGCACAGACTGTTTAGAGAGTCGTAAGTGGTTTAGTGAGAGGCAGACTGGTTGGCTATGAGGCCATATAAGTAGGCAGAGGCCAGCTCACAGAGGTCTTTGCTAAGTAGTTTAGACCTTGCACTATAGGCAATAGGAAGCCACTGAATTTTAACATGTCAGATTTGTACATTAGAAAAATCAGCTTTAGTAGCCTGAATAATTACTGGTATAAAGTAGATCATAAGTAAGAGCCAAATGGAACCTGCATCTCAAGTTAGAACAAGCTGAGGAAAATAATTTGAAGTTAGATCTAGTTTTGTTTTAGGCAGATGACTCCTTTGATCCCCTTGGAAACTCAGGAGAGGAGAGTATTAGGAGTGACTTCAAATGTGGAATGATTAGCCTTTTGCTAGGTCGTCTCATGCTTGGAAATTCTCTGGCTCTTGCCTGAGCCATGGTCCTAGTTAAACCATGGAGATGGGATTGGTTCCACAGTTTCACCAAGGATTCATGTAGGCCATTCTCTGACGCACATACACTGATTCAGACCTGGAACTGACGGCATCTCCCTGGAATTCTTTGGGTCGAAAATGACCCATAGTCCTAGAGTAATGAACTGAATTCATCCCAAATCTTACTATACACCTATTCTATGCCAGATGCTTTCATATACTTTATATCATTTGATCCTTAACAACTTTGTGAGATGTAGGTATCAGCCCAATTTGATGAATTAGGAAATTCAATGGTAGAGAGGCTGTCCAGCTAGTACATGGTAGAGCTGGGATTTGAGAGGCACACAGAGTATCTTATTGTCATCCATTCTTAGTGTAAGTTTTTTTCCAGTGGTGTGAAGTGTAGTAAACATTCTTGCATATCATAAGTGACATCCATATTAGACATTGAATGACCATTATACTTAGGAATGTACCAATGATTTAGTTCTTTTCTAGCAGTAAGTTTTGCTGTGAACTCCAAAGGTCACCCCTAAAATACAGGAACAGCTATCCTGAAGCTCCTGCATGAAATGCCCCACTCTTAGAATTGTGCATAGTTCATAATATGTGTTATGTGTCTTCCCAGCCTGTACACTTTAGAAGCAGCAAAGCAGCAAGAGACAGTTGCTTTCTAGCCACGTGCGGTGGCTCATGCCTGTAATCCCAGCACTTTGGGAGACTGAGACAGGTGGATCACTTGAGTCCAGGAGTTCGAGACCAGCCTGGCCAACATGGTGAAACCCCATCTTTATTTATTTGAGAGAGAGAGAGGCTTATATTTTGGAAAGTGAGATATATATATATATATTTGGAAAGTATACTCTGGCTGCAGTTGGAGAGCAGACTGTCTCACTTTTTGGTGTTGTAGAAAGTCCTTGGACTTTAGAGTTGGGCAAACTTGAGTTCATGCCCTTTTACCATCAGTGTGACTCCCAGAAAAAGCCACCGAATTTCTCTGAGCCTCAGTCTGCCCATCTGTAAGATGAAGCTTGTATCTACCTCAAGGTTATAGTGAGGATTAGAAATAACAAATGTAAAGTGCCCAGTTTATAGTGGTTGGACTTTTATTGTTTCAGAGTAATGCTTTGGGCTTTAATCTTACCTGTGTGAGAAAAATAAGTTGTCATACTTTGTTAATTTTTTTGTCAACAAACCTTTATTGGAGTGCCTACTTCGTGTTGTAGACAATACATTAGATTGTCAAAACTGAGGTTCTAACAAAGTGAGGAGGGAGGGCTAATGGACCCAGTGTTTCCTTGCGGTTCTGCTCACCTGTCAAATTCCTGACTCCCCTTTGCCCCACCAGCACCCATACCTTTCAGGTGGGCTGCGTGTCATTCTATGTGCTACACAACACATCCTTGTTTCAACAATATTTCTACATGAAGTTGTTTAGAGAAAAGCGAATGGTCTGAGTGTGCATTCTATTTCCTCAAGTACAGACATCAGAGAATGCTGTTTATTAATGAGAAAATAAACAGATATTTAGCAGCAAAGAAGCCTCTCCCAGTGATGTATGGGGTGCTTGGGCTATAGTCATGCCTGCAGTTTGAGCCCATCTGTTTTCTCTGTTCACCTCCTGAGCACTGTCCCCTTGTGGTTTGCATCATTCCCTAAGCCCAGCCAACTCCAACCCTCTTCAGTCCACTCATTCAATAGCTGTCTTATTTAAACACACACACACACACTCTCTCTCTCTCTCTCTCTCTCTCTTTGGGTGCCAGATGTGAAGTTTCAAGGCAGCAGAGGCCTGGCTGGCTAGTGCCATGACACCTGCTTTAGCAGGCAAGCCAGTCAGCTGCTGCTGCTGATGATATTGGCTCTTCTTCATGGACAGCATGAGGGTTTCACCCCACCAAGTGCACACACAGGCAGCTGAGGGAGCCTCATAAATTATGGTTTTGTTTGTTTACTTCGGTCAGACAGCGTGGTGTAGTGGAAAGAGCCCTGCACTTGGACGCAGAAAGCACGGGTTTGAGTGCTTGGTGGTTATGTGCTTTCTGCCTACAGAGCACCTCTTCATAGTACTTATCACTATCTCTGCTAATTGTGTATCTGTTTATCTGCTTATTGGCTATCTCGTCCACTACAGTATAAGTTCTAGGAAGTTAGGGACTGTCTTAGTCTATCATTCTATCTCCAGTACCTAGGACAGTACCTAGAACATAGTAGGCTCTTAGAAAATACTTATTGAATGAATTAATGAATTATAAAACTGCCTCTTCTACTCACTGGCCATGTGATTGTGGGAAAGTCATTCTCTTCTCTGGGTTTTATCTTCTCTTTCAGTTTTATCAACTCAAATGAAAGCATTAGGTCTCTATCCCTGATGCTGTAAGAGTTTAAGAATTCATTCATTTAACAAATTACCTTGTGTCTCCATAGGGGGTATTGCCAAGCCCTAAAGCTACACAGTCATGAACAAGGCAGAAACAGAATGTGCCCTCAGGGAGTTTTGAAAGAGAGAGACAACCAAATAAATAATTGCATGAACAATTATGTAATGACCATTGTGATAAGCCTTATAAAAGGATCTGTACAGGGCACTAGGAGAAAAACCACATATGAGGGCCATGTTGGGGGTTGTCAGAGGTTTCTTGGTGAAAGTGATATTTAAGTCAGACTTTACAGATAAGTAGTTGACCAGGCAAAGATGGTACAGTTTTTCAGGGAGAGGGAAGAGCGTTTGTGAAAGTCCAGGGTGGACATGTGGCTGTAGCATGGTGACCAACAGGGAGGTCATGCCAGGATCAGGCTAGAGAGGGAGGCTGGGCCAGATGGTTCAGAACCTTGTGGGCTATGGTAAGGATTTTGGCATGTCTAAAGACAAAGGGAAGTCATTGAAAACAATTCCTATCATTACAAAGGCTTTACTAGTACATACAGAGGGGAAAGCTGAACTCAGCATTACATGGCTGTCAGAGGTAGGTAGAGCACATAGTACCTCCATTTTATAGCTGAGGAAATAGGCCCCAGGGACGATAGGTAACTTACCAAGACCACTAGGCAAGTCAGTGGTAGAACTTGATCTCTAAAATTTTAGTCTACTTCTCTCGATACTATATCACATTACAAAGTTGAGAGGGTTTTCTTTCCCTTCACATACTCTAGATGGCCACATTTTAGACCTAAATGCCTTGTAATAACAGCTCTCATCTGCAAATTGAATGTCTCATAAGCAATTTTTAAGCAACTCTGTTAGCAACAAATCCCTCCAGAGCATTATGCTTGCATTTTGGGTAACTACAGCCATATCTTTGATGCCCATTTTAGATTATTGTTAGGATAGAGTGTTAGGAATAGAATTACTGTGTCAAAGGATATCAATTTTAAGAAACTTTTCATACATATTGCCAACTTGCCTTCCCAAAGGTTGCTTATCATCATCAGTATATGACAGTGGCTTTCTCAGTGCTTCAGGTAATAGAGACCAACTCTAATTTAAGCAAAACTGAATAGAGCTTACTTTCTAATCATACATATTTTGTTCACTTAGAGACAGGAAACTCAAGCAGGCTTTGGCAATTTGAATTGAGGAAGAAGATGAAGCTATAGAGATAGTGCCCAAAGGAGGCAGAAAACTCCCCAAGGCATTGTTCATGTGAAGAAGCAGACAACGTAGACATTAAAGACAGGAAAGTGAAGGCAAACTCTATTGTATTCTACTAAAGGAAGAATCTTCAGCATTGTGACATTTCTGCTAAAAGTAACTCCAACTTTGAAAAGCCCTTCCTCTGGCTTGCTAGAAAACTAATTGGAGATCCTAACTTGGAGTTTGTTGCTATGCTTGCCCTTGCCCCACCAGAGGTTGTCATGGACCCAGCTTTGGCAGCACAATATGTCATGATTTACAGGTTGTTCAGATGCTCTCCCGAATAAGAATGACGATCTGTGAGAAAATGAAGCTGGAGCCCAGCATCAGAAGTCTAGTTTTATAAGCATCTGTGCTATGCTGTCAGTAGTGTGGTGTGTTTGCCATTTTATTATGTAGCTAAGCAGAACATGTGCTTTATCTTTGGGATGCTGAAGGAGATGAATGGACTTCAAAAATACCTTCAATTTTTGGACCTGCATATTTAGCTGTTTTGGTTGTTTCCTTCTGGTGTTTCATATATATTAGGGTGGTGCAGAAGTTATTGCAGTTTTTGCAATACGTTGGCAAAAACTACAATTACTTTTGCACCAGCCTAATATTTCACATCATAATATTCAGTGGTGAGGATCTTATTTTACTGCCATTCCCATTCCTTTTCATTTAGAAACAGAATGAAGTTGTATTTCAAATACCTAAGAGAGAGATACACACACACACACGTACATAGTGTGGTCCATAACATAAGTAGAAATAAAATACTTGACAAAACTAGCACAAAGGATGGGAGGAGGGAGTATGGAAGTATAGTATACTCTTCTTCTTATGTTATACTTGAGGTGGTATATTATTTTTAAATTAATAACTTTAAATAATTTAACTGTTTTAAGTTAAATGTACATATTGTAAACCTGGAGCAACCACTGAAAACAACGATGTAACTCAAAAGTATAGTTAATAAGCCAATAATGGAGATGAAATGGAATACTAAAATTACCAATGAATGTTAGAAAAGAAGGAAAAAAGGACAAAGAATAGATGGGACAAATAGAAAGCAATAAAAAGACATTAGACTTAACCGTATCAACATTAAATGTAAATGGAATGAACACTTCAATTAAAAGGCAGAAACTATCAGGCTAGATTTTTTTTTCTGTAAATAGATACACATATGCTGTGTGCTAGTCTGTTCTTGCGTTGCTATAAAGAAATACCTAAGACTGAGTAATTTACAAGGAAAGAGGTTTAATTGTCTCATGGTTCTGCAGGCTGTACAAGCATGGCGCCAGCATCAGCTTAGCTTCTGGGGAGGCCTCAGGGAGCTTTTACTCATGGCAGAAGGTAAAGCAGGAACAGGCATGTCACATGGCCAGAGCAGGAGCGAGAGAAAGAAGGGGAGGGGAGATGCCACACACTTTTGCTCAACCAGATCTCATGAGGACTTACTATTGGGAGGACATCACCAAACCATGAGTGATCCCCCCAGATGACTCAGATACCTCCCACCAGCCCCGACCTCCAAGATGAGGGATCACATTTCAACATGAGGTTTTGAGGGGACAACATCCAAACTATATCATACTGTTTACAAGAAAGCATGTTAAACATAAAGATGCAGATAGGTTAAAAGTACTAGGACAGAAAAAGATAGACCATGCATACATAAATCATAAGAAACCTGGAGTGGCTATATTAATATCACATGAAGTAGACTTTAGAACAAGGAATATTACCAGATGTAAAGAGACGTAATAAGAGAATCAAGAAGATATAATACTCGTAAATGTGCACACACTTAATAACATGAAATAAAACTGACAGAACTAAAAACAAGTAGATAAATCTGTAATTTAGGGGAATGTGGAATGATGAGGCAGGACTTCTGGAATGACAGAGTAAGTAGCTCAGAAAATCCTCTTTAAAAAGAGATTGTCAAGAACAAAATTGATTAAAGGCTGACAACAAATTGAGAAGCATTTATTCATGAAAAACTACTGACCCTCCGGTTAAAATAGTGGGAGTCTGTGGTGTTTTAACCTGGGGCTGCTTGCAACCCACCTCCTCTCCTCTGCTCCCCACCAGCTTGGTCACCATAGTAATTGTGCTACAAGGAAAGATATCACGAAAACCTGCAGCTTTGCTGTGGGAAGGGGCTCACTTGATTTGAAGCAGAATTTGAAAAACTGCACGCCCAGGGGTATTGAAAGAAATAATAGCAGTCTCAGTGACAGACTAACAAACAAAAAACAAGCAAGACCAACAATTCAGCTAGCCTGAAGTTGAGGTCCTGGTGGGAGCAAGCAAGGGACCAGGGAGATAATGGGAATGAGAGCCATAGTGACCCTCAATAAGCTGCCACATATCCCTAGCAAAGCACATGGGCAGGAGAGACCAAAGAGTGCCTTAGCTATCCACATACACCTGGTAGAACTTGAGGCCATGAACATAGAGGAAATGTGAGAGTGCCCAACAGAAAGGAAATGCTATGAAATATGCAGAGAAACAGGAACATGTAACATACTGGCGGGAAATAAAATGATATGCAAGACTTGAAAAACTTTATCAATCAACTTGACCTAATTGATATTTACAGAACACAATACTCAACTGCAGAATGCCTGTTCTTTTCAAGCGTGCATAGAAGACAAACCATGGGGATTTTTACAAAATTCAACACCTATATTTGACCAAAAAAAAAAAAAAACACACCACTTTTCAAAAAGTAGGAATAGAAGAAAACATCCTCAACCTGCTAAATGGAATATACAAAACACTAAATACCATATATCATACTTTGTGATGAAATATTGAAACTTTCTAAGTTTGGCAACAAGGCAGAGATGTCTGGTATCAGTTCATGCAGTATTATTATGTGACTGGAGGTTTCAGCAAAAGCAGTAAGATGAGAAAAGTAAGTCATCCAGATTGAAAGGAAGGCATAAAACTATTTTCAAAGAAAAAACAAGTAATCTACAAAACAAAAATCTAGGGCTAATGTGTGAATTTAGTAAAGTGACAGGATACGAGGTCAATAGACAATATAGATTCAATTCTTTTGTATACCAGCAATAAGTAATTGTAAAATTAAAATAACATTTAAAATGCCATTTATAATAGTGTCAAGAACATAAAATAGGGATAAATTTAATGAAATATGTTCAAGATCTCTACACTTAAAAACTAAAACAGTGATGACAAAAACTAGGTTATTTGAAGTTTTTCTTCTTTCTTGATGTAGGTGCTTATAGCTGTAAAATTTCCTCAGTATTGCTTTTGCTGTACCCCATAGGTTTTGTATGTTGTGTTTCAATTATCATTTGTTTCAAGAAATTTTTCAGCCAGGCTAGATGACTCACACCTGTAATCCCAGCACTTTGGGAGGCCGAGGCAGATGGATCACGAGGTCAGAAGTTCGAGACCAGCCTGTCCAAAATGGTGAAACCCCATCTCTACTAAAAATGCAAAAATTAGCCAGGCATGGTGGTGTGCGCCTGTAATGCCAGCTACTCAGAAGGCTGAGTCAGGAGAATCGCTTGAACCCGGGAGGCAGAAGTTGCAGTGAGCCAAGATCGCACCATTGCACTCCAGTCTGGGTGACAGAATGAGACTCCGTCTCAAAAAAAAAAAGAAATTTTTCAATTCTTTATTTGTTCATTGACCCACTGGTCATTCAGGAGCATGTAGTTTAATTTCCATGTGTTTGTATAGCTTCCAGAATTTCTCTTGTTATTGATTTCTAGTTTTATTCCATTGTGGTCAAAGAAGATGTTTGATAATATTTCAGGGATTTTTTTTTTAAGGTTATAAGACTTGTTTTGTGACCCAACGTATGGTCTGTCCTTGAAAATGATCCATGTGCTGAGGAGAATATGTATTCTGGAGCCACTGGATGAAATGTTCTCTAAATAACTATTAGGTCAATTTATTCTGTAGTTCAGGTTAAGTCTGAGGTTTCTTTGTTGATTTTCTGTGTAGGAAATCTGTCCAGTGCTAAAAGTAGGGTGTTGAAGTCTCCAGCTATTATTGCACTGGGGTCTATCTCTCTCTCTCTCTAGCTCTAATAATATTTTCTTTATATATCTGGGTGCTCCAGCTTTGGGGGCATATATATTTATAATTGTTATATTCTCTTGATGGATTGATGCCTTTACCATTATATAATGACCTTCCTTGTCTCTTCTTACAATTTTTGTCTTGAAGTCTATTTTGTCCGGTGTAAGTATAGCTACTCCTCTTTTTTAAATTTCCATTTGCATGGAATATTTTTTTCCATCCCTTTATTTTCGGTCTTTGTGTGTCTTTTTTTTTTTTTTTTTTTTTTGAGACGGAGTCTCGCTCTGTTGCCCAGGCTGGAGTGCAGTGGCACAGTCTCCACTCACTGCAAGCTCCCCCTCCCAGGTTCATGCCATTCTCCTGCCTCAGTCTCCTGTGTAGCTGGGACTACAGGCGCCCGCCACCGCGCCCGGCTAATTTTTGTACTTTTAGTAGAGACGGGGTTTCATCGTGTTAGCCAGGATGGTCTCGATCTCCTGACCTCGTGATCCGCCTGTCTTGGCCTCCCAAAGTGCTGGGATTACAGGCATGAGCCACCGTGCCCAGCCCTTGTGTGTCTTTATAGATGAAGTATGTTTCTTATAGGCAATAAATTATTGTGTCTTTTTTTTTTAATCCATTCAGCCACTCTGTGTCTTTTGATTGGAGAACTTAGTCTATTTACATTCAATGTTATTATTGATAAGTAAGGATTTACTTCTGCCACTTTGTTGTTTTCTGGTTTTCTTTTCCTTCCTGTCTTCCTTTTAGTGAAGGTAAGTTTCTCTGGTGTTATGACTTAATTTCTTGCTTTTTGGTTTTTGTATATCTGTTGTATATTTTTTGATTTGAGGTTATTATGAGGCTTACAAATACTATCTTATGACTCATTTTAAACTGGTGACAACTTAACACTGATTGCATAAAGAAACAAAAAGAAAACTAATAACTCTACACTTTTTGTCTCCCCACTTGTTAACTTTTTGTTGTTTTTGTTTATACCTTATTGTACTGTATGTCTTGAAAAGTAGCTATTATTTTTGATTGATTCATCTTTTCGTCTTTCTGCTTAAGATAAAAGTAGATTATACACCACAGTTACAGTGTTAAAATAGTCTGTTTTTCTGTGTACTTACTATTACCAGTGAGTTTTGTATCTTCAGATGATTTTTTATTGATCACTAACATCCTTTTCTTTCAGATTGAAGAACTTCCTTTAGCATTTCTTGTAAGACAGATCTGGTGTTGACGAAATCCTTCAGCTTTGAAAGTCTTTATTTCTCCTTCATGTTTGAAGGATGTTTTCACCAGATATACTATTCTAGGGTAAAAGTTTTTTTCCCTTGGGACTTTAAATATGTCATGCCACCCCCTCCTGCCTTGTAAGGTTTATTAGATGCCTCAAGGTAGTCTTCAAGTTAAATCTATTTGGTGTTCTATCATCTTGTACTTCAGTATTTGTATTAGTTCATTTTCATGCTGCTGATAAAGACATACCTGAAACTGGGAACAAAAAGAGGTTGAATTGGACTTAGAGTTCCACATGGCTGGGGAGGCCTCAGAATCATGGCAGGAGGTGAAAGATACTTCTTACATGGCAGCAGCAAGAGAAAAATGAGGAAGCAAAAGGGGAAACCCCTGATAAACCCATCAGATCTTGTGAGACTTACTATCACAAAAATAGCACAGGAAAGACCGGCCTACATGATTCAATTACCTCCTTCTGGGTCCCTCTCACAACACGTGGGAATTCTGGGAGATAAAATTCAAGTTGAGATTTGGGTGGGGACACAACCAAACAATATCATTCTGCTCCTGGCCCCTCCAGATCTCATGTCCTCACATTTCAGAACCAATCATGCCTTCCCAACAGTCCCCCAAAGTCTTAACTCATCTTAGCATTAACCCAAAAGTTCACAGTCCAAAGTCTTATCTGAGACAAGCTGAGTCTCTTCCACCTATGAGCCTATAAAATCAAAAGCAAGCTAGTTACTTCCTTGATACAGTGTGGGTACAGGTATTGGGTAAATACAGCCATTCCAAATGGGAGAAATTGGCAAAAACAAAGGGGTTACAGGACCCATGCAAGTTCGAAATCCAGCGGGGCAGTCAAATTTTAAAGCTCCAAAATGATCTCTTTTGACTCCAGGTCTCATATCCAGCTCACCCTGATGCAAAAGGTGGGTTCCCATGGTCTTGGGCAGCTCTGCCTCTGTGGCTTTGCAGGGTACAGCCTCTCTCCTGGCTGCTTTCAAGGGCTGGCATTGAGTGTCTGTGGCTTTTCCAGGTGCACGGTGCAAGCTGCCAGTGGATCTACCATTCTGGGCTCTAGAGGACGGTGGCCTTCTTCTCACAGCTCCACTAGGCAGTGCCCCAGTAGGGACTCTATGTGGGGGCTCCAACCTCACATTTCCCTTCCACACTGCCCTAGCAGAGGTTTTCCATGAGGGCCCCACCCCTGCAGCAAGCTTTTGCCTGGGCTTCCAGGCATTTCCATACATCTTCTGAAATCTAGGTGGAGGTTCCCAAATCCCAATTCTCGACTCCTGTGCACCCGCAGGCGCAACAGCACGGGGACTCTGGGCCCGACCTACGAAACCACTTTTTCCTCCTGGGCCTCCGGGCCTGTGATGGGAGGGGCTGCCATGAAGGTCTCTGACATGGCCTAGAGACATTTTCCCCATGGCCTTCGGAATTAACACTAGACTCCTTGCTACTTTTGCAAATTTCTGCAGCCAGCTTGAATTTCTCCCCAGTGAATTTTCCTTTTCTATCACATTGTCAGGCTGCAAATTTTCCAAACTTTTATGCTGTTTCTCTTTTAAAACGGAATGCTTTTAACAGCACCCAAGTCACCTCTTGAATGGTTTGCTGCTTAGAAATTTCTTCTGCCAGATACCCTAAATAATCTCTCTCAAGTTCAAAGCTCCACAGATCTCTAAGGCAGGGACAAAATGCCGCCAGCCTCTTTGCCAAAACATAACAAGAGTCAACTTTGCTCCAGTTCCCAACAAGTTCCTTATCTCCATCTGAGACTACCTCAGCCTGAATGTTATTGTTCATATCACTATCAGCATTTTCATCAAAGCCATTCAACAAGTCTTAGGAAGTTCCAAACTTTCCCACATTTTTCTGTCTTCTTCTGATCCCTCCAAACTGTTCTAACCTCTGCCTGTTACCAAGTTCCAAAGTCACTTCCACAGTTTTGGGAATCTTTTCAGCAACACCCCACTCTGCTGGTACCAATTTACTGTATTAGTCCATTTTTACACTAATTTACTGTATTAGTAAATGACAAAGACATACCTGAGACTGGGAAGAAAAAGAGGTTTAACTGGACTTACAGTTCCACATGGTTGGGGAGGCCTCAGAATCATGGTAGGAGGCAAAAGGCACTTCTTACATGGCAGCAGCAAGAGAAAAATGATGAGGAAGCAAAACTGGAAACCCCTGATAAACCCATCAGATCTCATGAGACTTACTATCACGAGAATAGCACGGGAAAGACTGGCCCCCATGATTCAATTACCTCCTCTTGGGTCCCTCCCACAACAGGTGGGAATTCTGGAAGATACAATTCAAGTTGAGATTTGGGTGGGAATATAGCCAAACCATATCAGTATTGGTATCTTTCTCTAGGTTTTGGAAGCTCTCTATTATTATCCCTTTGAATAAACTTTCTACTATTATACTTTCTGTTTCTCTACCTTTAAGGTCAGTAACTCTTAGATTTGCCCTTTTGAGGTTGTTGTCTAGATCTTGTAGGCATGCCTCGTTCTTTTTTATTGTTTTTTCTTTTGTCTCCTGATGTGATTTGGATTTGTGTCCCTGCCCAAATCTCATGTTGAATTGTACTCCCCAGTGTTGGAGGAGGGGCCTGGTAGGAGATGATGGTATCATAGTGGTGGATTTCCCCTTTGCTGTTCTCATGATAGTGAGTGAGTTCTCATGAGACCTGGTTGTTTAAAAATGTGTAGCATCTCCCCCTGTGTACTCTTCCTCCTTCTCTGGCCAGGTAAGGTGTGCCTGCTTCCTCTTCACCTTCCGCCATGATTGTAAGTTTCCTGAGGCCTCCCCAGCCATGCTTTCTGTAAAACCTGTTGAACTGAATCAGTTAAACCTTTTTCTTTATAAATTACATAGTCTCAGGTAGTTCTTTTTTTTTTTTTTTTTTTTTTGAGGCAGAGTCTCGCTCTGTCGCCCAGGCTGGAGTGCAGTGGCGCGATCTCGGCTCACTGCAAGCTCCGCCTCCCGGGTTCCCACCATTCTCCTGCCTCAGCCTCCCGAGTAGCTGGGACTACAGGCGCCGCCACCACGCCCGGCTAATTTTTTTGTATTTTTAGTGGAGACGGGGTTTCATTGTGTTAGCCAGGATGGTCTCGATCTCCTGACCTCGTGATCCGCCCGTCCCGGCCTCCCAAAGTGCTGGGATTACAGGCTTGAGCCACCACGCCCGGCCGGTAGTTCTTTATAGCAATGCAAAAACAGACTAATACGTCTCCTCTGACTGTGTTTTTTCAAGTAGCCTGTGTTCAGGCTCACTAATTCTTCTGCTTGGTCAATTCTGCTCTTAAGGGACTCTGATGTATTCTTCAGTATGTCAATTGCATTTTTCAACTCCAGAATTTCTGCTTGATTCTTTTCAATATTTCAACTCCTTTGTTAAATTTATCTGATAGAATTATGTGTTCCTTCTCTGTATTATCTTGAATTTCTTTGACTTTCCTCAAAACAGCTTTGAATTTTCTGTCTGAAAGGTTATATGTCTCTGTTTCTCCAGGATTGGTCCCTGGCACTTTATTTAGTTCATTTGGTAATGTCATGTTTTCCTGGATGGTCTTGATGTTTGTGGATGTTTGTCAGTGTCTAGGCATTAAAGAGTTAAGTATTTATTGTAGTCATCACAGTCTGGCTTTGTTTGTACCTGTCTTTGGGAAGGCTTTTCAGGTATTCGAAGGGACTTGAATATTTTAATCTGAGCTGTACTGCATTAGGGGGAACCCCAAGTCTAATAACACTATGATTTAGACTCATAGAGGTACCTCTTTGGTGGTCTTAGATAAGACCTGAAAGAACTCTCTGGATTACCAGATGAAGACTCTTGTTCTCTTCTGTTACTTTCTCCCAAACAGTCTTTCACTCTCTGTGCTGAGCCACCTGGAGCTGGAGGTGGGGTGACACAAGCACCCCTGTAGCCACCCACTGGGACTGGGCTGGGTTAGGCCTGAAGCCAACACAGCACTGGGTCTTGCCCAAGACCCCCTGTTACCTCTACCTGGCTTTCGCCTATGTTCGCTCAAGGCCCTAGAGTTCTACAATCAGCAGGTAGCGAAGCCAGCCAGGCCTGTATCCTTTTCTTCAGGGCAGCAAGTTCCCTTAGGCCCCAGGTGGGTCCAGAGATGCTATCTGGGAGCCAGGGACTGGAGTAAAAAACCTTATAAATCTACCCTGTGTTCTATTCTGTGGCTAAGCTGAACTCATACTATGAGACATCCTTTCTACTCTTCCCTTCCCTTTCCACAAGCAGAGGAGCCTCTCCCAGTGACCGCCACCACCACAGGCCCATGGGGAGTACTGGCAGTCTCACTGATGTTCACTTACCGCCCAAGGGCTCTTCCATCTGCTTAGGGTGAATGCTGCCAGGCCTGGGACTCACCCTTCAGAGCAGTGGGCTCCTCTCTGGCCTAGGGCAGGTCCAGAAAACGGTCCAAGAGCCAAGGCCTGGAATCGGGGATCCCAAGAGCCCACTTGGTACTGTACCCCACTGTGGGCAAGCTGGTTACTTAAGTGTAAGATAAAGTCCCCTTTACTTTTCCCTCTTCTTTTCTCAAGGAGGAGTCTCTCACCATGGCCACCACAGCTGGGAACATGCTGGGTCTCACCTGAAGCCAGCATGTCTCAGAGTCTCACCAAGGCCCGTGGCATACAACCTGGTTATTGCTGCTCATTATTCAGGGCCTAAGGGCTCTTTAGTCAGCAGGTGATGAATCCTGCCTGGCCTGGCCCCTTCTCTTCAAGGGAGTAGGTTTTCTTCTGGACCAGGGTGTGTCTAGAAATATCTGGGAGCTAGGGCCTGGAATGGGGGCCTCAAAACTCTTCCCGCTGCCCTATCCTGTCGTGCCTGAGCTGGTATCCAACATGCAAATCAAAATTATTTTTACCCTTCCCTCTCCTCAAGCAGAAGGAAGGAGTCACTTTCATTGCTGAGAACTGTGCTGCTTGCAGTTGGAGGAGGAGTGGCACAAGCACTCCATTAGCCACCCCAGCTGGTGTCTCACTAGGTCACATGCCCCCCAGGTCCACAAGCTCCAAGCCCAGCACAACAGTAAGACTTGCCTAGGAGTTGCAGTCCTTGAGGCACAGACTGCCTTTCATGTTTACTTAGGACCCCAGAACACTTTAGCCCACCATGCTGAGGCTTGCCTAAACTCAAGTTCTGACTGCTGGGATAGGCGATTCCTGTCTGGCTATGGCTGGTCTAAGTGCTCCTTCCATGGACACACATCTGCTGAGTTCAGCCCAGTTTTGCTGAGTTCAAAGTCCCACAGTTGCTGCACTCTCCCTCCCCGAACCACACAGATTCTCTCTCTGCGCCAAGGGCACTGCAAGGGGATGGGGGAGGAGGGGCATTGGCAATTCAAGACTATCATGTTTACCCTCTTCAGGGCCTCTTTCAGTGATAGGAAGTTAAAACCAGGTACTGTGATTGCTTACCTGATTTTTGGTTCTTATAAAGGTGCTTTTCTTATGTAAATAGTTGTTAAAATTTGGTGTTCTGTGGGGAGGATGATCACTGGAAGCTTCTCTTCAGGTGTCTTGCTCTGTCTTTGATGAGGGAAATTAAAGAAACTAAATTAATGGAGAAATGTAACACATTTGTAGATTGGACGAATGCAATATTGTTAACTTGTCAGTTCTCTCCAAATGGATAAATGGGTTCAAAGCAATGCCAATCAAATTTCCAGTAGGATTTTTTGTAGAAATTCATAAGTTGAAGTTCTAAAATTTGCATGGAAATGGAAAAGATGTAGTATAAAGCAGTCTTGTAATAAGACAGAGGTGAAGAACTTACATTTGATTTCTAGACTTACAGTAGTGCCACAGTAATCAAGACAGTGTGGTGTTGACATAAAGATAGAAAAAATAGATCAATGGGACAGAATAGTTAGTCCATAAATAGTGGTTGATTTTCATCCAAGGAGGAAAAGCAGTTTGATGTGTAAAGAAAAGTCTGTTCAACAAGCAATGCTGGAACAACTGGCTATTAAAATGTTTTTTAGAAGAAAATACATAGAAGAACATTTTCATCATCTTTGAATAGTCAAACTTTTTTTAGGACCCAGAAAGCAATAACCATACAAGAAACGTCAATAAAATGGAATTCATCAAAATTTAAAGCTTCTGATAAAAAAAAGACACCATTAAGAAATGAGTAGGAAAACCACAGAATGAGAGTAAGTTATCACCATGCATATATCTCTCTATGTCTATATATTTGACAAAAGGCTTTTATCTAGAATATGTAAAAAAAAAAACTTATACAGCTCAATATTAAGAAGACCCAATTAAAATCTAATTTTAAAAAAAATGGGCAAAAAATAAGAACCAGCACTGAATAAAGAAAGATATACCAATGGCTAATAAGCACATGAAAATGTGTTTTAATACTATTATTCAGCAAAATGTAAATGAAAATGACATTGAGATATCACTACATGCCCATTAGAATGGCTAAAATCAAAGGGTGGCAACAGCTTAAGTGGTAAGATTGTAGACCGTAAGCAAAAGTCTCATACGTTGCTGGTAGGAGTGACACAACCACTTTGAAAATTGGTCTGGAACTTTCTCATAAAGTTATCATGCATCTGCCAAATGACCCAGCAATTCCACTGTAAATATTTACCCAAGAAAATGAAAACATACATCCATACAAAGATTTGTACACTAATATCCATAGCAGCTTTATTCTAAAACTGGAAACAACCCAAATATCTATCAACAGGTGAATGGATGAATAAATTGTGGTATATTCATATAATGGAGTACAGCTCAGCAATAAAAAGTATAAATTCTACCAAACACTTAAAGAAGATTTAATACCAATTCTTCACAAACTCTTCCAAAAATCAGAAGAGGAGAGAACATTTCCCAACTTACTCTATGAGGTCAGTATTACTCTGACACCAAAACCAGACAAAGACATCATAAGAAAACTACAGACTAATATTCCTAATGAATATAGATGCAGAAATCCTCAAAAAAAATTACCAAGCTGAATCCAGTGACATATAAAAAAGATTTTGCACCATGAGCAAGAGGGATTTATCCTAGGAATTTAAGGTTGGTTTAATATCTGAAAAATCAATTAATACAGTAAACCTTATCAATGGAATAAAGGACAAAAACCACATAATCATCTCAGAATCAGAGCTGCGCATGGTGGCTCACGCCTGTAATCCCAACACTTTGAGAAGTCCAGGCGGGCAGATCCCTTGAGGCCAGGAGTTTGAGACCGGCCTGGCCAACATGCTGAAACTCTGTCTCTACTAAAAATACAAAAATCAGCCAGATATGGTAGCACATGCCTATAATCCCAGCTACTTGGGAGGCTGAGGCAGGAGAATTGCTTGATCCCAGGAGGCAGAGGTTGCAGTGAGCTGAGATCACACCACTGAACTCCAGCCCGGGCAACAGAGTGAGACTCTATCTCAAAAATAAAATAAAAATAAAAATCAGCTGGGCATGGGGCTGCATGCCTGTTGTGCCTGCTGCCTGGGAGGATGAGGCATGAAAATCACTTGAACCAAGGAAGTGGAGGTTGCAGTGAGCCGAGACTGTGCCACTGCACCCCAGCCTGGGCAATAGAGCGAGACTCTCTCAAAAAAAAAAAAAAAAAAAAGTGAGATTAATAGAGCCAGAAGGAGCATTTGACAAAATCTAGCACCCTTTTGTAATTTTTTTTTTTTGAGACAGAGTCTTGCTCCGTCACCCAGGCTGGATGGAGTGCAGTGGCGAGATGTCAACTCACTGCAACCTCTGCCTCCCAGGTTCAAGCAAGTCTCCTGCTTCAGCCTCCCGAGTAGCTGCAATTACAGGCATGCACCACTACACCTGGCTAATTTTTGTATTTTTAGTGGAGGGAGTTTTGCCATGTTGGTCAGGCTGGTCTCAAACTCTTGACCTCAGGTGATCTGCCCGCCTTGGCCTCCCAAAGCACTGGGATTACAGGCATGAGCCACCATGCCTGGCCCCTTTCATAATTTTTAAAAAACACTAAAAAAAACTAGAAATAGAAGGAAACTTCCTCCACCTCATAAAGGGTATCAACAAAAACCCACAGCTAACATCATACTTAATGGTGAAAGACTGAAAACTTTCCCATAGGATCAAAAACAAGACAAGGAAGTCTGCTCTTACTGCTTATATTCAGCATTGTACTGGAGGCTCTAGCCAGGGCAATTGGGCAGGAAAAAGAAAAGGGATTCATTTTAGAAAGGAAGAAGTACTATTTCTATATTCAGATGACGTGATCTTCTATATAGAAAATCCTAAAGAATCCACTAAAAAACCTATTAAACCCAATACGTAAGTTCAACAAGGCTTTAGGGTACAAGCCTAATGTACAAACCAGTTATATTTCTACAAGCTAGAAATAATCTGAAAATGAAATTAGTAAACAATTGCATTTACAATGGTATCAAAAAGTTTAAAAGTACTCAGGAATACATATAATGAAGTTCAAAGCTTATATAAATTCTGAAATCTACAAAGCATTGTTTAAAGGGTGCAGTGGTTCACACCTCTAATCCCAGCTTCCTGGGATGGCTTTCCCACCTTGTTTGTCAGGAAATGTCTTCTCATCTTTTAAAAAGCCATTTGAAGGCTCATGCCTGTAATCCCAGCACTTTGGGAGGCCAAGGCGGGTGGATCACCTGAGGTCAGGAGTTTGAGCCCAGCCTGGCCAACATGGTGAAATCCCATCTCTACTGAAAATACAAAAATTAGCCAGGCTTGGTGGTGGGTGCCTGTAATCCCAGCTACTTGGGAGGCTGAGGCAGGAGAATTGCTTGAACCCAGGAGGTGGAGGTTGCAGTGAGCTGAGATTGTACTCCAGCCTGGGCAACAAGAGTGAAACTCTGCCAAAAAAAAAAAAAAAAAAAAAAGAAAGAGAGAAGGAAGGAAGGAAGGAAGGAAAGGAAGGAGAAAGAAGACCTAAATAAATGGAAACACTTCAATGCTCATGAATCAAAAGACTTAGTAGTATCCTTAAGATGGCAATACTCCCTAAATTGATCTACAGATTTAGTGCAATCTCTATCAAAATCCCAGCTGGATTTCTTTTTTTTTTTTTTTCCCGGAAATTGACAAGCTGACCCTAAAATTCATATGCAAACGCAAGGGACCAAGAACAGTCAAGACAATCTTGAAAAAGAAGAACAAAAGTGGAGAAATTCTTCTTGATTTCAAAACTTACTACAAACCACAGTAATCAAGACAGGCTGGTTATAGCATAACAGTAGATATCTAGATCAGTGAAACAATTGATAGTCCAGAATTAAAACTTACATTTATGGGCAATTGATGTTTAAAAGTGCTAAAAAAAAAAAAAAAAAAAAAAATCAATGAGGCACCCCAAGCATCAATGGGGGAAAGAATATTCAACAAATGATACTGGGACAACTGGATATCCACATGCAAAGGAATAAAGTTAGGCCCCTTTCTTACACCATACATAGAAATTAATGGGCTAGGTGAGGGAGGAATGGAGAATTGTCTAATAGGCATAGAGTTTCCGTTTTGCAAGATTAAAAGTTCTAGAGATTGGTTACACAGCAATGCAAATGTTCTTAACACTACTGAACTGTATACTTAACAATTAAGATGGTAAATTTTATGTCATGAATATTTTACTGCAATTTAAAATTTTTAAATAAAATTTAAAAATTTAGCTAAAAATGGACCGTAGTCCTGAATGTAAAAGCTAAAACTATAAAACTCTTAGAAGAAAACGGGTAAATTTTTGTGACCTTGGGTTAGGAAAACCTTTCTTAGACACAACACCAAAGCATAAGCAACAAAAGATAAATTGGACTTCAAAGGACACTCTCAAAAAATGAAAAAACAGCCCAAAGAAAGGATGAAAATATTTGCAAATCATTTTTCTGACAAGAGAATTATATCCAGAATCTATAAAGAACATTTACAACTCAATAGCGAAAAGACAACCCAACTGAAAAATTGGCAAAGGGTCTGAAAAGACATTTCTTCAAAGAATGTATACAAATGACAACAAACATCAAAACATCAACATCGTCAGTCATTAGGGAAAACATTAGTCATTAGGGAAATGTGAATCAAAATCACAATGAGAAATCACTACACCCACTAGAATTGCTGTAAATAAAAAGAGACAATAACAAGTGTTGATGCGGCTGTGGATAAATTGGAACCTTCATCCACTGCTGGTGGGAATATAAAATGGTGCAGGCACTTTGGGACACTTTGGCAGTTCCTCAAAATGTTAAATAGAGTTACACTATGACCCAGAAATTTCATTGCTATATATGTACTGAAAAGCAATAAAACATACATTCATACAAAATCTTGTACATAAATGTTTAAATGTTCATAGCAGCATCATTCATAATAGCTAAAAAATAGAACTAAGCCATATGTCTATAAGGTGATGAATGGATAAATACAATATGATATATCATTAGAATGGAATACTGTCCAACCCTAAAAGGAATGAAATATTGATATATACCATTACATGGATGAACCTTGAAACATTATGCTAAGTGAAAGAAGGCAGACAAAAACGA